CATAGGAAAGTGATTTAGGCTGGGCTCTGCCATGATGCTGTTGTGGAAATCATCAAAGTTGACGGGGGCAAGGAAGTCCATCTGATCAGGAGGCGTATGGTTGTAGTCCGACTTCGCCAAATTCCCCATGCTGGTAGATCGAAGACTGACGCGAGAGTTGGTACTCCGCGTTGATTCGTTTGTTGAATCGATTGAGGAGTGTCCCGAGTGGAAAAACGAGCCGGGTGCATTACTACGAAGCGGAAAGTTAGACGCTAATGATCATCACCGTGGCAGGAGATATAGTACAATATTCCTAGTCAAACTAAAAGAGAACACGGACGGAAATTGGAGATTTTGAGCTCATACCTTCTGCGCGAGGGTTCTTGCGGCCGTGGGCCCTGCGGCACTTTGTGATCTCGAATCGACAGTCTTCTCTTGGTCATAATGCTTATGCGAGACCCAGCTGCTGCCTTCGAGGAAGGAGGAGTATCCGAAAGGAAAGGTGTCGATGCATGTTTATGCAAGCGTCTTCGTGCGGGACCCTCTGCTATTTAGAACCATATTCGTTAGCCACTGCCACTTGCGATTTCACACTGGACAAAACCATCACTGGAATGTTTTACCTCCAGATCCTGAATCTTCATTCCGAGGTGGACTGGTCGAGCCCGTGTGTCCTTTACGCAGCTGCCCCCTCCCCGGAGTCTGCTGCGACGGTAACTTTTCTGGCATCCTAAGGGTTCGATCCAAGTATTCCCAGTAGCGATAGGGGCACGTTCAGGCCGAATCCCTGAGAAATTAGAGGTGAACGGGGGGCCCAGTGTCGTCTTCTTTTGCCAATGGCACAGAGGCGTCACTGATTTCCCAGCCTTCAAAACAAAGAATGAGGCTTGACAAACACCGTCGCGCAACCCATCAACGGTCGCTACCGGTCCATTGCGGGGAGCAAAAAGAGCACGTCTCTTTTATCAGGAGTCGACCACGAAAATCCAAACCGAAGTACGCGGCCAGATAAAAGGATTGGCGTATTAATATCGATTCGGTTTCTTTTCGAAGTGTCGACACAGGGTTGTTGGTGCGCAGAGGGGGAACTCTTCGCCGTTCAGTTGGACTTGGCGTTAAGAAAGTTACGGGCGTATATAATAAATGGGACCACTAGAGCCCAAGCAAGCGGGAAAGAAGAAAAAGGGGAAATATTGTTAAGGGAACGAGGAAGGCACTCAAATACGATGAAACGACAATATACAGATAATATCGTGAGAGAAAGAAACCAGCAAGGCCACCCAATGCCAGCTAGGAAATAGAGCAGAGAAGAAAAGTCGAGGAACTGACAAAATATAATTATGGGTAGACTACTGGGTAAACAACGAGCTGTTGTTGACCTCTTCTAGTACTATGGAGTACCTAACAGAGTACTAACTATCGCAAGTTTCTTAGTAGTCTACCTTAGCGTAGGCAAAAGTAAGGTAGTGCGTGCCCCCTGGCTCCTTTTCTGTAGCTATAGAGATGCCTAATTGGGTAACCACAAGTGCAAATAGGGCAAACAGTGCTCTTCCGAGATTAGTGCATGATGGGTGGATTTTGTCATTTTCTGCTCCTTACAGCTGATCAAACTGTACACAAATTACATGTTTGTTACCCAAATTACCACATTGTTTTACTGAATCGACCCTGCTCGGCTCATCCACGTCAGAACAATCGACGCTGCATGTGCTTCTGTGCGGAGAGACCTAACACTTCGGGCTATCCGCCACAAGAAATGCGCCTTCATGCTCCAACTCTATCCCTCGACACAGCTCCAGCTTAGGGCATGATGGATGACGGTTGTACTGCAGAAGTTATTGCCAACCGTGACGAGCCCATCCCCGTCATCTCAGTCAACAAAAATGACACCAAGTCACATCGGCATGGGAGGTCGGAGTCTTTGCATGACAAGTTATTCGCCAAGTTCGTACCCTCTTGCCGCTGGGAAATGAGTCTTTGAGGTACTGAATGGACTGACGATGTTGATGTAAGGCTTCTGGAGCAAGTCATTCCCGCAGAAGATGTAGACAATGAGTCTGTTTCGGGAGGCGACAAGCGTACGATTGCAGATGTTAAGCGGCCTGCGTTTAGCCTTCCTTTGATGGCTAATAATTTTCGTCGCTTCAACGCCAGGTATGTCAGATAAAACATTTATCAGGGGAAAGTTGAACTCGCAAGTTGCTAACAGCCTTCACAGGATCGGGATTGTTTTCCATTTCCAGAACCGACTTGAACGTCTGCTAAGCTGGAGGAAATCGTCACATACATTCTCTTTCCTTTTTATCTATTCCTTTATATGCCTGGATCCTAATCTTCTGGTGGTACTTCCCATCACCGTCATCTTACTATTCATCATGGTCCCAGCCTTTGCGGCACGTCATCCACCTCCCCCTTCAATGTCTACTTCCAGCACCACACCCTATTACTCATACCAGGGTCCGGCACTTGCGCCTGCGAAGACTATCAAGCCAGCGTCTGAGACATCAAAGGACTTTTTCAGAAATATGCGTGATCTCCAGAACGTCATGGCTGACTTTTCTGATGTGCACGATGCGGCTATCTCGCTGTTTGCACCCATAACCAACTTTTCGAATGAAAAACTCTCATCCACTGTTTTTCTTATACTAACGATCACTGCTGCACTACTGTTTCTGACAGTGCATCTCTTGCCGTGGCGGTTTATCCTGCTACTTGGTGGCAATGCGGCCGTCCTATCCAATCATCCTGGCCTACAAGAATTCTTGCAGAACTTCCTAGGAGACCGTAGCGGCGCTGTGAAAGCCGACCCGCAGGCTGACCGGGCAGAGAAAAAGAAGGCTCCAGACATGTATGGGTTGCCGATGCCGTCGAACCCATCCGCCGCCGTATCGTTGCTTGATTCATTGGCTGATATTTCTTTGGATTCATATCCTGAAGAGCGTGAGGTAGAGATCTTCGAGATCCAAAATCGCTCTCTAGCCACTTATTCCGAGTCGTCAGAGTGGGACCATTTCATTTTCAGCCCAGTGCCGTATGATCCCTTGTCACCGTCCCGAATTGCAGGAGACCGCCCAAGAGGATGTCGTTTCTTCGAAGACGTTCAGCCTCCACCTGGCTGGGCATGGAAGACAAAGAAGTGGAAGTTGGACCTTGACTGCCGCGAGTGGGTCGTTGAGCGCATGATCACCGGAGTAGGCTTTGAGATACCCGGAGCTGGTCCAGAAGGAAGCATGGCCAACGAAGAGATTGGAGGCTGGGTTTGGGATCTACCTTCTCTATCCTCGTCCAGAGACGAGGACGCCGTGGCCACTGCATTAGGGTATCAAGATTACGGCTCAACCTCGAAGCCGGCCTCAATTCAAGAAAAGAAGAAGACGCAGAAAGGTAAGCAGAAGTCGGTCTCTCGGGACTGGGAGGAGCAAGGGCATTCAGGACTCAATGGCATGGGCGAATGGCGGAGAAGACGATGGGTACGGGTCGTGCAGAGAGTCAGCGTGTCCTCTGAAATTGACAAAGAGAAACCTTCGAACCAAGGAAAACCCTGATGCTTGTGATGAGTATACTGGAAACTAATACTTTATGATTTAACTGAATGGGAGAACGGTTTTATTAGACCATTATCGTTTGATACATGAAATGGCTCGAATGAGTAGGATACAGAATCTTTTACCCATATTTGCACCTCTGCAATTACTTTTTACGATTCCGTCCTCTGATGATATGTCCATATTGATCTTCGTTTGACTTCGTCGTGCTGATCGCACACTGTATCCTTGATTTTTAAAAGTACATTCTTTCCTAATATTCTGCGGTATTTTACCATTCTAGAATGTTGATGGTGACTGCCCGAGGCTACCTAGGCAAACCTCTATTTCACACTCTATCAAGTGAAACATGCATGCTTCTAATTTCTCAAGTGATATCTGTTCATTTAAGATATTGTTGCAAATCTAAAACCATGTGTTTCATGTATTTTTGGATAAAGCAGACAGTAAGGCGTGAAATGTGGGGAAATTATGCCTAAAATCCCTCTGTTTTCAGCCTCCCAAATTTCAGGCCCAAAGCTTAGTCGAGATGGTGCCTTAGGCATCAAAGCTTGCCTTCCGCCAATCCGCCTCCGTCTAGAGCAAGCCACCTACTACCAAGGAAGCAGAGGCGCTCAGGACAACATTGAGAKAGAAGATTGTCTGAGTATTCATCTCAATACTCAGGGATCAGGTCTGAATTGATGTCGCTCGTTCAGAATTATGGCGTACTTCATTCTTGCCATCCAGTTTGGGTATTGCACTCCGACACTCGTTCTATATTGTTTCACCCCGCTCTGACATAAATGATGATGCTAGGACTCGGCCAATGCTCGACTGTCGAGATGTGCCATGCATTATTTCTCCACGATACCGACAATTGTCATCATAGGGGCTGTTGTGTTTTACCTGCCCAGCCATTTTCTGTACCGCTGGCGTCCGGAATGGATGAAACCCTTCATATCGGAACGTTCTGAGGAATGGTCAGACTTACCAGTGGAGCCAATCAAGCAAAGGGTGGGATGGGTGATTAGCCTTTTCCTCATCACACTCGTAGGGCTCGCAGCTGAGATCGTAAAAGAAATTACGAATGGCTTTGAAGTGGCTACTATAGCTCTCCTTGTGTCATGGGTAAGATAGCCCGCATCATTGGGGAACTTGAGCTGATTCGTCCCTCAGACAGTTGCAGCGATCTTCATTTGTATGGCACGTCCAAGGACATGTCCAGCTTGGATGCTTGCATACTTCATCACAGAGCTTGCTGTGGAATTGTCATTTATCATGAATCATGACACATACGCAGTGACAAGACTTCCTGCGTATTATGTTGCGGCTGGCGCGGCTTTGGCTGGATGTGTTACTATATTGCTTATGCCTCTCCGCGAGCCTTCAGTTCCCATTTATGATATCGCTGCTGTTGGTCAACCCTCATCCAGCGACTTTCGCAGTCCAGAAGACAATCTGAGATTGTGGCAATTCCTTAGTGTGTCATGGATGGCACCGCTTATATCCCTTGGGAAGAGAAGACGATTGGACGAGGACGACGTCTGGTTCCTTGGCTTCGAATTTCAACATCGCAGGTTACATGACAAGTTTCGTCGACTTAAAGGCTCAGTGATTGGCCGTCTGCTTCGTGCGAATGGGATTGATATAGTGATTGTTTCCACCATTGCAATTGTGCAGATGATATGCGGTCAGGAATTCCTATGCATTCTACGGAAATATTCGCTGATTTGATCCTCAGACTTCGCGACCCCAATCTTGTTGCAGCAACTCCTTCAAGCCATGCAGGACATGAGCTCAGGGAAACGCCCTGCCATGACCTATGCACTGGTCACTCTCGTCCTTCGTGTGGTTGCGGCGCAATCGCAAGTACTCAACCTTTGGTTCGGTAGACGATGCTACGAAAGAAGCAGAGGGGAGATGATCATGATGGTCTACGAGAAGGCGCTCTCTAGGAAGAACATTTTTGAGCCCCAGTCAGAACAAAAGGATGAAGGGGCCGCAAACGGAGAGCTTCTCGAAGAAGATACCGACGATGAAGTAGAGATCCCCAAGCGAAGGAAACTTTGTGGGATATTCTTTCGGCGCCGGCAAACCACAAAAAAGCAGGCTAAATCGGCTGCCTCGATGGGCAAGATTTTCAATTTGCTCCGTGGTGATGTCTATGAAGTTGCTCAGCGGTTTTGGGAAGTCGACTCCTTGATTGACAAACCTCTGGGTCTCGTCATTGCAATCGTGCTTGTTTGGAAGCTTTTTGGGCCATCATGCTTCCTGGGAATCCTAGCAATCCTAGTCGCTCAGGCTTTGAACGCCGTCATCACTCGCACACTTCTCCGTTGGGAGCGAGTGCGGAGACTCGCAACAGATGCCAGACTGCAGATAACTTCTCAATTTGTCGAAGCACTCCGTCACCTGCGCTGGTATGGCTGGCAGGACCACTGGTACCGGCTGGTTATGGATGCTAGGCAGTCGGAGCTGAACCTTCGTATCATTACCAACTTGTGGAGCATCCTGATTCGTTTTGTGAACACTTTTGCCAGCGGCGTGTTTCCCGTAGCGGCTCTGTATGCCTACACCCTTCTGGCTGGTCATCCTCTCCGCATTGATATAATCTTCCCTGCCTTGCAGCTGTTTACTATGCTAGAAACACGCCTTAGAGATATCCCTGGTCTCATAACGGTACTGATCAATGCATCTATCGCCGTCGAAAGAATCGAGGACTTCATGGCCGAGCCGAACAAGGAGACACCTACTACCGACCCCGACCACTCTTCTCCCATTCAGCTACAACATTGCTCATATGCTTGGCCTGGTCGAGTCGTCCCGGTGCTGTCAGATATCAATTTGAGGATATCCGAGGGTCTGACTGTCGTTTCTGGTAAGGTAGGGGCCGGAAAAACGGCTCTACTTCAAGCGCTTCTCGGCGAACTGGACAGAATTGGCGGCTCTGCTGAAATCCCTAATGAAATGGTGGGCTATTGTGCTCAAACACCATGGCTCCAGAGCATGAGTATCCGAGACAACATCCTTTTCTCCTCGCCATATGATGAGCAAAGGTACCAGAAAGTCCTGGATGCATGTGCCTTGCTTCCTGATCTCGAGAATTTCGAGCACGGAGACCTCTCTTTTGTGGGTGAGAATGGTATAGGCCTTTCTGGCGGCCAGAAGGCCCGCGTTGCGCTGGCGCGAGCACTTTATAGTACCGCTAGGATTTTGTTGCTTGACGACCCAATTTCTGCTCTTGATCACAACACTGCTGAGACCGTGGTTCGAAAGTGCTTTACGGGTCCTCTGATGCAAGACCGCGTCGTTGTCCTCGTTACGCATCGTACCTCGCTGGTCAGTCCTATCGCCGATCAAATAGTGCATATTGAAGATGGCCGGGCTACAATTCACGGTAAACAGGCTGTGTCTATGGATTCGGCCGCTGATGAAGATGTCCAATCGCATTTAGCAAAGACAGCCGAGGCGCAAAGCGAGATTCAAGGCGCTCTTCGAGAGGCTGCGGCTTCGACTCCGACAAAGTTCATCGAGGAAGAGCACCGTGCGGAATGGGGCGTGCAAGCCCGAGTCTATTGGAACTACATCAGAGCTGGAAGATATAGATGGTGGATTTCACTAGTATTTATCTTGGCCATCTACCGATTGACGTCGGTAGGACAATCGTGGTTCCTAAAGGAGTGGGGTGAAGCCTACAACCAGATTCTCCTGGCATTCAGCCATTTCACCCCCGAAGGCAGATATTCCGCAGGATAATGGGTTGTACCTTATGGGTGGTCCCAGGCGTCCCGTTGGAACCCAACAGATCCCCTGGAAAAGCTGCCAGCGCCATTCGAAGACGTGCGACCTTGGCTTCTGGCCTTCTTTGTGATAACAACGTTTCAATCGGCCATGCTTCTGTTTGCGCAACTTTTGATGCTGGTCATTGTCTACTGTGCAGGCAAGAAACTCTTTCACGAGGTCATGATTCGAGTGAGCCATGCAACATTTCGCTTCTTCGATGTCACTCCTATCGGCCGCTTGATGAACCGACTGACGTCGGATATCGGAGTGGTCGACGGTAATATTAGCGAACAATTTCAGGCTATTGCATTCCAAGCCATCACCTGGATCTCCTCAATTGTGGTCATAGCATCGGTGACACCAGCATTTCTTGGGTTCTCCTTCGCTCTCACTGCGGCATTCATTTTCACATTTCTCCAATTCCTGCCAACGTCTCAAAGCCTGCGACGCCTTGAGATGGTGTCTCTCAGTCCTTTGATCTCGAATTTCGGCGAGCTCCTGCATGGTCTCACGACTGTTCGGGCGTTCCACGCGGAAGAACGCTTCCAAAACAGAGTTATTGCGGTCGTAGACAAATTCCAGGGCATGGATCATTTCTACTGGTCGCTTCAGAGCTGGCTAATGTATCGGTTTGAAACCCTGTCAGCTGCGTCCACGTTTTGCCTCACTGTTCTGGCATTATACACCAATGTCACTCCAGGTCTTGCGGCTTTTGTACTGATAGCCGCCAACAACTTTGTGACGTCCACTCATGCTTTGTGCAAACAATATGGCCAACTACAAATGGACTTTGTCTCGGTTGAGCGGATCGATGAGCTGCTTCACGTTGAGCAGGAGAATCCAGGAATCATTGAACCTCCGGCATCTTGGCCGCGGTTCGGGCAGGACCTCACATTCGAAGACGTGACCATTCGATATGCACCGCACTTGGAGCCTTCACTCCGCAACATTTCTCTTCGAATCCCCGGGGGATCGACGACGGCCATCATAGGCAGAACAGGAAGCGGCAAGTCCACGCTAGCCGTCTCATTGCTCAGCGTCATTCGCCCCGAATCTGGCCGGATCGTCGTCGACGGCATCGATATCGCGCAAGTCAATACCCAAGCGCTTCGAACCCGTGTCACATTCGTTGCTCAAGATCCCGTTCTCTTCCCCGGTAGCATCCGGTTAAATCTCGATCCGACTGGCGAATACTCGGACGAGGAGTGTGCTGATGTGCTGAAGCGTGTTTGTAGTCGGCATGGCTGGAATTTACAGACGCACGTCGAAGCTGGTGGCCGCAACCTCAGCCAGGGTGAGCGGCAGCTGATCGGTCTCACGCGGGCCGTCTTGCGTCACAGTCCGATTGTCATTCTCGACGAGGCCACAGCGTCTATCGACCATGAAAGCTCCCTTGAGATTCAGCAGGTCATAAGGGAGGAACTACGGGAGTCGACGGTTATCACCATTGCGCATCGGTTGGAAGCAATCAAGGACGCGGATTACTATGTCGTCCTAGATCAAGGACGGGTGTCAAAGCATGGCTATGTCAATGATAACGGCACTTCTCAGATACAGTCATAGATAGGAAGGATTAGAAAAATCTACTAGAATCACGACTACAAATCTGACACTACCACAAGATGTAAACTTTTGAACCAACATCAAACATTTCTGTACACGGTAATTTGCAAAGTCAAGAATGAATCATGACGACAATCATGCAAAACCAAGGCAAAACCACCACGAACCATAGGTTGAAACGCCATGAGAAAAACTCCAACCACTAAACCTGCCCAAGCATCAACAAAACATGACCCACCACCCGCAGGGAAACAAGCAGCAGCATACTCCAACAAGCCCCATCGCACACCATACTTCTCCCCGACCCGACGTTAACAGCACCCGTCGCAGTGGCATCACTCGAGCTCACAGGCCACCCACTCGACGCAGGACTCGCACCAGACACAGCCGAAGACACCACAGCAATGGAACTGGCCCTACTCGGAGAGGCACTCGCCACCCCATATCCCGAAGATGCAGATACACGCTGACGCTCCGCACCATCGGAAACAACCACCTGTAGAACCGGCACCGCAGTCACCGCCGTACCGTCGACACAATCGCCCAGATTCCATGGGTTGTATGGTAGGGAGCAGACTCTTCCGTCAAGCGACGCCGGAGATGGGAGGAGGGTATTGATGCCTCTCTTCAGGCGGGGAGTCTCAGAGACGTGTACGGCGTCGATGCCAGCCCGCATTTGTGTCGAAATACTTCCTTCATCGCAGTTTCTACCAAGGGCGAAGAGGGGTGATTCCCAGGTCCCGCAGAGGGTTGTCTCGGGGATATGAGAGATCTTGCCGTCGACTGAGTATCCCGTGCCGTTGAAAGCGCAGACCGCGTCTCCTGCGTGCGTGGATGATTCGTGACCTGGGTATTCTCGTTAGTTAATCTCCAAGCGAGGAATTATAGGCTCTGAGGACGTACAAACTGCGGCACCGGTGTAGAGTGGTGGGATGAACCTCGAGAGCCTGGATATCCGGTTAGTTGTTTGCTTTTGGAAGTGATCAGGGACTTGAGTACATGGTATTGCAGGATCGGACTTCGATCATGGTCGTAGACACGCAGGATATGATTGTCGAGCCCTTTAGCGAGCCTTCTGGACAGTAGCTTCCTCCAGGCTTGGAGCAGATGAGAGTGTCGCTGGTAGGGTCGCTGCTGGTTGTCAGCTTCTTCTGTCTTATGAGTATCAAATGGTAGGAAGGACGAGGGGTGAGGGGTACTATTCCACTTGGGCGCTTGCCAGCTCAAGAAGCATGAGACTGGCGCATAGTAGGAGAATCATGGCTAGATACGTCTTCATGGGTGTCAGGGCTTGGTGTCGGTATGCTTAATTGAATCGTCGGATAAACAGTAGATTTATAGGCTTGATAAAGTGTGCGTAGAACTAGCAGTATGGCCAGACTATTGAGCTTACAGAGAGCTTGAAATAGAGCTAGGCTGCTGATGCGTTGTTTGTTGATGCTCCACGCGTCGTGGTTGAGCAGTGAATGAAGCACGGAAGATTCCATTACTTTTCAACAGGACCATAGCACAGTTCATCTTTGAACAACTTCATATTCTAGGAGCTTGACACATCCATGATGTCTACACTTGTGACTGGCTAAATAGAAACAACATGAGATAGAATGGAGAGGATCAGAGTAGCTAGCCACTTAGGCGACACCAGTCAGAAGCTGGGTTGAGCTGGGCAACGTTGTTGAGACATGGAGGCATTCGATAATGGAACTCTACACGCACACGAAATGGATGAGAATGCCAAAAAGAAGAGAACAAGATCAAAAGGCAAAACGGAACGGGCCATAGACACCCATCTGTAGGATGCCCCATGACTTGATCCGTCCCGGTACCGGTACCTGTATAGCTGGAAAAGGACGTCTATACAGGCACAGAACCGTATTCGAACCGGAGACGTCGATGGTTACAGAAGTCCCGCAAGAGTCAGTGATAGACTGACTGGCGTTGACCCCTGCACCACCTGCCCCGGTTCCTTGAGTGGTGCTGTTGCTAGAGACCTATGTGTTGCCCTTGATAGCCGAATCGGGTAAGGTACGGGTGGATGGATACCTGGAGAATATGGCGTTGAGATGCTGCCTGAGGATATGAAAGCATACTGGACCTAGCCGTGACTCTGCAGTCGACATGTATACCTCCAGCACCTCGACGCAACAACTCGTAGGCATCCAATGTCAGCAGCGATCGGCCTCGTAGATACGTGTCTTACCAGAGTCTCCTGTGTTCAGACGACCTTCACTACAAATGAATAAGGACAGTGATCATAAGAGATGGTTGATTCCTCGTGGAAGGCTTCTGTATCGAATTCTGACTCTCATATTGAATATGGTATCTGCAAGGACATGAATGTGATATAGGTCTATATGTAACAGTTGCAGAACTGCCAGTCGGTATAAACTGACAACCGAAGCCTAGACAATAACTTTTAATATCAACAACCATCAAAAACGCCGTATGCGCCTGGAATGCATCAAGACACAAACTATGAGGAGTGGTTTGCCTTCCACTTGCGGATCCTCCGCTTCAAATCACCCTCGCTCTGTTGCATGGGATTCAACTTCCTGTCACGAGCCATGGCGCCGTAGTTGTCTCCATGACGCTCAATCAACTTCATAATCCATTCCTCCTCCCGCTTGCTCTGGTGCCGGGGCTTTTTGGCCTTGACTGCCTGCCCTTCTTGGTCTGCCTGACGTTCCAGCTGTTGAACAATCGCGCTCTTGGCATTGGCTCTCTGTGACGCGGGATACTCGGCTGCCTCATCCTCAGACAAGTCGTTCAGTGGGTCGTTGAGCGGATTCGAACGTTTGATTTTGCGACCGCCCACTTCAATCTCGTCTTCGTCACGAATCACTCGGATGATTTTGCCTGTTTCCGGGTCGCGTTCCACCCTAGTCTCCCCCATGGCTGCCTGCTTTGCGGACGCTTTGGCGCTGCCCCTGATGTGGAGGGAATCCTCAGGTACTTCCTCGATGCGCCCATCTTTGGTCGGCCGTTTTTCGCTACCGCCAGTTGGAGCATTGAGTTTGTGAACGAGTCCCAAGCGGCGGTAGTTTTGTGTCAGAGTCAATTTGCGATCCCTATTGCAGTGAAACTCACGTCAGCTGCTGATTTTCGATCGATTCTAAAAATCGGTAGTTCTTACCAATTTTGAGCGATAATGGCATTTCCCAGGACGTTGATCTTCTTCTTGCCGCTCTTCAGCTGCCCAGTCCTCTTGGGCTTCTGTTTCGGCGTCGAGGACCGGTTTTTCTTCTTCTGTAGCACACGACCCATTCTTCTTATTCCCTTGTAGCGATAATTCGAAAAAGTGGTGGATGATAAAATTGCATAGCGGGTTTCAATTCTTATCGATTTCTCCGAAACTTTTTAATGTTTGCATCCGGAGGCTTGGCGTGTTTGCCGGCATTAGCTCCACTGATAACGAGCTGTAACAAACTAGCTGTCTGATATCTCTCGTGCCGGCTTAATCAGGGTATTATCCTCGAGTGTCTCTGCCCAATTGCTCACTTCTGCGATCCAGACTTTCACGACAGCGATGGCACTCAATTTCTCCTCTCCTGCGCGCAGGACCGGCCTCGCTCTGGTCGCTGGCCTTCTCTTATTCGCTGTGCTGGCGGCTGCGACTGCGACTGTTGACAGTGGAGACAAGTTCACTGTGGGCGACCTTTCCGTAGCGGAAATCGAAGACAAATTGCAGGTAATTGCGTCTCAAGCTTCTAGTCATTTGTGATTGTCAGCAATCACTAATAGAGACTGACTTGCTCAGGAATGTCCACTTGTGGAAGCTCTCAATGAGCACAAGCGTGCAACCAGCCCACCAACAGCCAGTATGATGTCGAGACTCTTTGCGATCCTCTTTCCTGGCAGTCCCGCGGTCAATGCAATCCTGGCAACTGTGTACATTTCCGGACCTCCCAGTATGCGTGCTTAGAGAAACCATGTCATTACCGTGCCCGGATCTAACAGCTACAGACTTCCTCCTGGCACTATGCCCACCGAACATCGACCCTTCATCTCTGTCCGTTATGGTCGCTTTCGCCGTCGGAGGACTTTTAGGTGACACTCTGTTCCATCTTCTCCCTGAGATCTTCCTAGGCGAGGACTCCCCTGAGCACGTGCGCTTCGTCATGGTCGAGCCCAACAGGAACCTCCTCCTCGGACTCGGGATAATGGTCGGCTTCTTCACCTTCGTGGCAATGGACAAGGCTCTCCGCATCGCAACAGGAGGCGAAGGACACGCCCACTCGCATTCTCACTCGCACGAACACGCCGACAGCTCCTCCCACGGCACAACCACAAGCTCCACCACTAGCAACGCCAACACCGAGCTTCGCAAGCGCAAACCCGACCCCTCCACCCCCGCCACCAACCAAGAACCAGTAGACGAGAAAGAAATCAATCCCAGCGTCAAACTAGGCGGCTACCTCAACCTCATCGCCGACTTCACCCACAACATCACCGACGGCCTGGCAATGTCCTCCTCCTTCTACGCCTCCCCCACCATCGGCGCAACCACAACCGTCGCCGTTTTCTTCCACGAAATCCCCCACGAAGTCGGCGATTTCGCTCTCCTCATCCAGTCCGGCTTCTCCAAGCGCAAGGCTATGGGCGCGCAGTTCGTCACGGCCATCGGTGCGTTCCTTGGTACATTCATCGGGATCGCGATCCAGGAGTTGGGAGGCGGGCACGGTGCGGCCGCTGGTGGAGTGACGGACGCATCGGCCGGGCTGCTGGGCACGAGTCTCACGTGGGGTGATATGCTCTTGCCTTTTACTGCAGGGACTTTTCTCTACGTCGGGACTGTGTCGGTCATCCCGGAATTGCTCGAGACGGGCAAGGATAAGACAGTTGAGATCAAGAAGACGATTGTGCAGTTTTTGGCTGTTGCTGTCGGGGCGGGGATTATGCTTGCGTGAGTATTGGATTCCGGCTTGTTATGAACATTGACTAACACTTCCGCTATGCAGGATCTCCTGGGATTGAGGTGTGTGGTTTGTACGATTTGGCTGGCGGCAGCATTTTAGACGGATATACTTTTATGGGGCATAGTGATAGATGAAAAGTACTTGAAAGGACGCCGATGCAGTCGATAAATACCCGACCAGGAAATAAAATTGCTTGAAAATGATCTAGCTCCGTGCATCTAGATAACCAATGTAAATGCCATGCGGACTCCACATGCCACAATGCTGGCGCCAAAACTCCATCCACCACATGAGATCTGAAAGATTATATTCTAAATTGTGACGAAAGTTGCGCACAGCGCGCTCAATGTAACGCATATTGCGTCGTGCAAGAAAGGTCTAGTATAACATCGTTTCCCAGAAAGCCACATCACTCGTTTTGGTGGTATACCTGCAAGCAGCATTAGCATCCCACGAGTCATCTCACAGGAGAAAAAATGCAACTTACAAAATAATCCGGCAGCCCATACACGGAGTACCCCAGCCGCTTTGCCATCTTCGCGAAGCCCTCCGTTTCGACCAGGTGATAAAAGGGAAAGGCAGGGAACATCGCGCCGTCACGATGCACCTCTGCCTTGACCATGAGCGCCGTGCCGCCGACACCGTCCAGCTCGATGGCCTTCTCAGGGTTCGGATTAGTTGTATCAGCCAGATAAGCCATCAGCGTGCGGTAGGTCGGCATCTCGGCGTAGCCCTCGAGGAGGATCTCATCGGGCCCCATCTCCGCCGCCATACTCTGCGCCGTACTACTATCGATCCACGAGTTGTAGTCGTACGGCCGGACATCCATCTTCTTCTTCTCGGAGTTGTAGTACCGCTGGTAGCAGTTCGGGACGAGGACGGGGTAATCGTGCGCCGTGAGGTCCTCAATCAAGGTCGGGGGCGTCTCGACGATATCCGCATCGAGCCAGAGAACCCAAGCCGTGGCGGGGCCGAGCGTGGTAAACAGCAGACTGTTGCGGGCGCGGCTCATCGACTCGCGGCGCGCCTTCTGGTTCTCCACCTTGTGCCGCTCCTTCTCGTCCTGCGACTGCAGGGGCGGCTCGAAGTCCTGGCGGAGAATGGAGATGCTCGCGAACCGCTTGTCGATGGGGCCGGACTGCGTCTTGGCAATGGCGTCTTCTAGTGCGGCTAGGGCCGCATTGCCCTCTTTGTTCTTGGGGATGATGAATCCGATGGAGATGAGCTCGTGCGGGTAGGTCAGTTGCACCACGTTGTCCCAGTACTCCGGGACGAAGCGGGCCATCGGCGTTAGGATCAAGATTCGTTCGTCGTTAGCGGCGGAGTTGCTGGTGCTGCTGAGCTTGTTCAGGTCGTACCGCACGACCGGGGGAGGGGCCTGATGGCCATCTTGGCGGACGGGCTGGGATTTGAAGAAGGGTTTCGTCGGAGGTGAGAGGGGGTTTTCGGCAGCATCGTCTTCGCGGCGTTGCTGGGAGGAGGAGGAGGAGGCGGAGCCCGCGCTAACGGGGGAGGCAGAGGACGTCGAAGGGGAGAGCACGAAGATGACGAACCCGAACGCCAATATGGCCGCAAGGAGGAGAGTGATTGGATTCGTGCGTCGCATTGTGCGGGCGACGGCCATTCCTGGCCGTATCGACCGGTGGCAACGAGCGAAGAGAAGCAGGAATCAGTAGGGTGAGTTGGTGACGAGGATGCGAGCTGTCGGAAGTCGGAGATGTTTGATGAGGACAAGTCGAAAGATCTGGACCGGCGGAGATGGCACAGGGAGATAATACTTAGCCAGCAATGAAGTCAATCCTCGACCTGCGCCCCGACATAGCGGGATTGACGGTGAATAGGTCAAATTGCGAGTTAATCGTGCTGGGAGAGTCAACGAGGGAGGGAGCCGGCGATGATGAGAAGATGAAGCGATGGTCTGGCCTGTGTCTGCCCGCCCTGACCTCACTGCGTAGTGGCCGGAAAAGAACACGCGGACCGACTTTCAAAATCGCAGCGCAATCTTCCTCAAACTAATCGATTTCTGAACCCACAACTAGCCAATGAACGTCAAAAATATGTGCCTCCGACGTTGAAATGTGGACCAAAGCCCAGATCTCAGTTCCTGCGCGAGGTATGCTGAATGCGGAAATGTTGCACTCAAGCTGACCTCCGCCGTTGCACCTTCAGCACTGATCATTTGGCTATAAACGACGCACTAAGTTCATTACCAATTGGCTTTTGGTATCTCATTATGCTATATACAAATGGTCGTCTAGTCTATTATTGTTCGTCGGCCTGATTACCTGATTACATCAGGCTCACGGCAGCGACCGCATCACGCCCTCAAATGCAACCAAGGCCATCGCATTCGCCGGGAATGCTCGTAAGAAACAGGGCACAAACCCCCTCCAGTACCCTCTCCACCCTCGCTCCTGATATACCGCCCTCGCAGCATCTTTCCACCGGCGGAGTTTTCTTTCCCCATCACCCAGCGCACCGCCCATCGGGTCCGTCATCAATCGCTGCTTAACCACATCGGACGGGTACGAGGTCAACCAGAAGATCTGTGCCGATATGCCACCGGCCCAGAAATTGATTACTGGCGCCGACATCGCGGTGTTGTTTTTCATCCATCGTGTCAGGACGTCGTAGGAACCCCACCAGAAGAAGAAAAACGATCGGAAGAGGATTGTCGCGCAGAGGCCGCGGTATAACCCTGCGATACCGTGAGTGCGCAGCTATGCTGCAGTCAGCCGACGCTCGCTTGCAGCACTCGAGACCTCTCAATGACTTACAAGCTTTTTTAAGCAATCGATCGGCCCGCTGTACATTCGCTTCGACTTATCCGCCGCATACTGAATCTGCAGCCGCGCCTTGATGTGCTCCACTGGAGCTGCTATGAAACTGACAGTCGTACCGGCAAGGATACCAGCTATCCCATGTCCGAAGCTAGGAAGCGTCTTGGGGTCAGGCTGATAGCTCGCAAACGGCGTGAGAGACCGAATGGCTGGTTTCGAAAAGACATTCTCGAGCAGTAGTCGTCGGTACAGCGTCAGGGAACCGAGCATGCTATCCATGAATCAGATCCAAACCATCCATCCTACCGATCATCGACGAAAGTACTCACACAGAGTCCATAACCATCCAACCGACCAGCGGCGGCGTGGCTCCCTTGTACAGTCCACTCACACCCTCCTTCCGTACCGTCTGTAGTACACAGTCCAGCGGCCCCTTGAAATGCCCTTCTTTGCTCGTTTGTAATCGCACCTTTACCGTATCGAAACTGCACATGTCCATTAGTCATAGAGCAACGTAATAGGAGTGGTCATGTCACATACGGATGCCCAACTACACCATAAAACGGATATCAGCTCCGTCCTGAACGTCACCAACAACAGTCCTCCTACCCAAGGGGTAAAGAAGAACATACCACTCAACTTTGCAATTCCCGAAAACACCCCCGCTACAAACCCCTTATAGTCGCTCTTCTTCTCGGTCGGGACCGACGGACCGGCGACCACAACGGGTGTGCTCTGGCTTCTGCTGACCATATCGCTGGGGACCTTTGCGTCTACCGGGGAAAGCAACCCTTCAACTGACGACATCTATGTGGACGCTGGATCCCCCGGAGTAGTACTCAAGGCCTACAGTCCGCGTTGACAATGTGCAATGTGTGGTAATGCGACTGATAATTGCGAGGTACAAGATTTAAAATCCGCGGCGATATCGGAGATTGGGCGTATGGGGTGTCCCATTGAGTGCGGTACTCTGCTCAAGGGATGAATGACGGAATCGAGGGTTCAATCGATTTTGTTGTGAGCAAAGAATGAAGTAGACTTCGACTGCCCATCGCAGGAACGGAGGAGACAATATAATCGACCATGTAGGATGGAAGATCAGGTAATAAATTTCGATGGGGAAGCTTTGCGCCCCGCAAATCTGTGGTGCGGTTTTCGGGGAGAGATCGCTCAGCTCCGGAGAGCACCTTACGACTTAGTAGTCTTGGTTGGCCGATCTCTGGTCAAACTATCAAGTATCAACTATCTAGAATTGGATGGTGGACTCTTGGTTGACGGACAGTGGAGTCTTTGAAACATAATGTTAAGTCAAGTGGCAGTCTGAGAATGTCTAACAATGGACCGATCTAGCGATAATTCGTCCTTCAAGGACGCAATATGTAAATACACAGCCGAAGCAAAGTTCCCCGCAATCAGTCGAAGCCAAGGTACATGAGAAATTCTAACTGTTGTCCCTTTTGAATCCAATTTCAGCATCACTCTTGAGTCAAGCAGGACAATCTGTTCTGGCCATGTCTGGATGTTATAGGAGACTGGATATAGGAGAAGACCGGGTCTGGGTGCCACAGGTGACATGTGCAAAGCATTAAATCAAGGCTGTATGGGGTATAAAATGAACGCAAAATAATGCAGGTTGAATTGAGCTCTCATGCGAGAGCCCATCTGACAGATGAGAGTTCATGGAAAAGTTGGAAAAGAATGAAAAAGATGGAAGCTTCTATCCTGGATAACCGGCCAGGACGTGGAAGACGGCACTGATCACCAATTCTTGGAGCTCTTTCGCGACTTCTGGCGAGCCCGGTCGGCTTCGCGAGCAATGAGCTTCTCAACCAGATCTGGCGCAGCGAAGGAGCTTTGAGAGTCGCTTGACGAAAAGTCTGAGCTTGTTGCACCGATAGTCAAGTAGCCACCGGTCTCCTCCAGAGCCAATGGCGTCACAGGTCCCGGGCTGCGTAAAGGGTCTAGCCTTGGGGCAGAGGGACTCGGCGAGAGCGGTCGAGAGGGTGCCCTGGAGAGAGTGACGCTTTCCGCCAATTCTCTGTATTGTCTCAACGTGTCACGGGAGCTTGACGACGTCCAGTATGACTGCTGTCGGGAATGCCGGGGCGACGGAGGCTGTGCGGCCAAACTCTGGGTGTTGTTCGAAGGCTGGTAAACAGCGGGATGGAACCGAGGCAGACTGCCGAGATTGAAGGCTGGCGCAGACTTGGCCGAGGTGTGAGGGCGGGAGCGTGTTGGCTGTGGAGACGCGGAGCGGGTTGTGGGTGACATGCTGGGCGACATGACCGGCGAATAGAACGAGGAGCTATCGGAACGCATTCTGGAGGACGGTTGGCGGTATGAAGGGCGGCGGTAGCGGTTACTGTCCAGCCGGGACACACTCTCGCGATTCCTCCAAGACTTGGACTGATCAGACTGCGGGAAATAGTCCTTTTCAAAACGCCCGGTCAACGGGGTGACGGGCAGATCTGAATCGTAAGGACTACTCGGCGGTTTTGGTATGGGAATTGGACGCGAGGTAGAACGACTGAGAACAAGAGTATCAGACAATTCTGAGATTTCCGAGGCGGGCGAGCGAGGAGACAGCGGCGATGGTGGATTATATGTGGACGAGGTCGCCGTCAGGTCACGCAAGGACGATAGCGAGACTCGAGTGGGGTGGCCGTGCTTGGCGATCAGGCTTTCCAGTTGATCTCGGGCTGAAGCTGTTGAAGGACGATGCGAGGGTGACCAGGAGGACGGGGAGAGATTGGCTAAGAGCACGCGATCAGCGAGAATGACCAGAGAAATGAACCAGAAATGCCACACGTGTAGGGTGGAGATTGTGTCGACGGTGCCAACACAAAGGGGGAAGTAAACAAATCATTGAAAAGGGATAAGATGAAACGCGGACGGTCCGCATCTAATAATGCCAATGAGAGCAACGGATAGTCCGCTAGGAGAGGAGACAGAGGTGGAGAAGAGGGGTAAAAGAGGCATCTGTATGGTCGGATGGAGTGGCAGCGGGCATCCGCTTGAAGACGGACGGACGCAGAGGACAGAACAAACGGACAATTACTTACTGCTGAGCAATGGGGGAGAGTGGACTGAGCTCCAGGAGGACGGATAGAGAGAAGAGGATGAGGACGAGGAGGCCGAGAAGGAGGATGGTGCAGAGGCTGCCATTGAGGCTTTTATCCTTTTCCTTCTTAGGCGAGGATAGTTCTGTCCCTGGCCGCGGGAGAGATGAGCCCACATCAGCGTGCTTGCCCAGCTTGGTAAGGGTGGAGAATGACAACAAGGAAGAAATAATGGAACCAGGAACAGGAACGGGTATCGAAATGATCTCCTCTGGGGTGCCCCGTTTCTTCTCAGACGCCGCAATAGCCGACACGATTCTGAAGAAGACGAGTTTTCTTGACTAGGTAGGGAGAGACGGAAGTGCTCGCTGCTCCATACAAGGGAAACAGTGCAGTTATTCCACGGGGAAGCGATCGAAGGAGAATCACATAGCAAAAGAGTGTCATCAAAAATTCCCGACAACAAAACAAGTCGTGACATGGCGTCAATGGCGGAGCTGCGGGTACAAAAACGCAAACTAAGGAAGCAAAGAATTTGGGTGGACGGGAGGGGCAAGTATGTTACGGTACGGTACGGTTACCGCCCATGGTACTACCGTACCCTTGAACCCCGGCTATTGGCGGATTTGCCCCATTCTTTGCCCAACCCAGCGTCCACCACGCAAGGGGTAAAGCAAAAGACCAAGGACATGCATGCCTTCTCCCAAGGCAGATGGAGAGTCCAAAAGGCAGAAAAGCGTGTTTCAAGGCAGAGATGGTACATGCAGAAGACATATCTCACTCACCTGCGACATGATTGCAGGCCTGGGTCAAATGATCCTGGCAATGGTGACCGTAGCGGGTCGAATTTTCCCCCTATCCCAAGAGCTGATTGGTTCCTGATTTGGCGAGCATCCGACGGGCTCTATTTTCAGGTCGCTTGCCGTACGAACCGAAAATAAGAAGACGGACAAATTAAAAACCATGCGATGACGCAGTCAGGAGATTTGTGGCTTGGAAAAATGTTGGTTTAGATGATTGATCAATGACGACCTGCCAGGTAGACGAGCGGTTTTGCAATCAAAGTGATGTGCAAAGGTGTTGAAGATCCGTTGTCAGTGGCTTTTTAGGAAGAAGAGGAAAGCTAGACGCAAGGCAGGTAGGTAGGTAGCATAAATGCATAACACAGACGACGCATATGTCAGGTCGTACGTGGTCAAGATGCAGGACGACGAAAGAGGGGCTTAGTCAACTGGGCGTGACAGACGCATCGACAAGATGGCTTGGACTAGGCATCGGCAAGTACCTACACTGTCTTTGTAAGGACAGGACGAAAGAAAGAAAGGTCTCAGCAGTGGCAAGGTCTGACAATCTTGTCCGAGACCCAAAGAGATTCAACAACACTCTGAGCCAACGAGACGGGGTGAGCTCTGTCCTTAAGAGCTAATCGGTTGCCTCTAGGAGCATCGGGATTTGTCTACACCATTCACCAGGTTTCGCAGATAAAAAGGAGCATTGTAACCACACGCGCAAGCAGCGGATGACCCCGAACCCTACTCACTGAGCTAAAAAAGGTGTGGAAAAAAACAAGGCAGAGGCAGTCATCACAATCAGCATCACATTATAATTGAGATGGGGACTCACTTGCGAATTATGCTGAATAGCTGGATGACTGTGGATTTTACTGGATTTGGACATGGATTGAGACCGTTTCCCACCATCAAACGAGCCTAGAAACCGAGTAGTGGGACATGGTCGATCTGCCGGGGTCAACAGCGAAGATGACTGGCAGACAGGCAGTAAGAGGCGTAAGTACGGATACTACCTAGTTGAGACCTACTTTTTGAAGGTAGGTGGGCAAGGAGCACTGAATAATGCTGAATGAATAGAACAATGAGTATAGACAGGGTTGCGTACTGCCCCTAGTGTCGGTACGAGGTTTCCATCCTGATGCTGGAGTCAGTCCTTGAATACTCCCGTATGTTCTTCATTGCAGACAAAAGCTCTGTTCACGCAAGCAGACTAGGAGGACCCAATCAAATCACTTTTATCGACCACACTAGCTGCCTGAGTCGAGTCAGGGAAGAGGAGTATTGATATTTGCTTTTCCGAAGACGGTCTTCCTTCCCGTCAGGGCCATTATGGTTCTGATCACCACCATCGACAGGGTATCTAAATCATCCACCAAGCAGGGCGATCAGCCGACTCGCCCACCTCCATAGCATGATCCACCCCCCACCTGAGCGTCCTCGAAGTCTGAACGGTCGGATTTTTCTGGCTAATTCACCGTCTAGTGCATCATATCTCAAACAAGATCCAATAGTCATGAGCGGATGTCTGTTCCAAATATCTGAAAGACGAGCGATGACTAAGATGGTTCATTGCCACCGTATGTCCTGGGAGGTGATATGCGACAGAGGAAATAAGTGCGAAGGCAACTTAACAGATATCCATCTACTCCGTGCCTGCAGCGAGATGCTGACTGGGGTGCATCCAAGACCGATCGACTACACTGTCTGAGTTGAAGTACTCCTGATGTCTGGCTGGACAATGGGTGCGATTGGTAATAGACTCAACCCCTCAACCTTCATGATTGGGAAAATCCCATGCGTAAGTTAGCTCCAGCCTACAGTCAACTGAATGCGCCAATCCGCTGCTCTCTTTCCAGATTCCAACAACTCAACCACAGCCTCGCAGCTGTTCGAGCAAAGCTAAGCCGTGCAAAGCAGGGAGGGCAATGCAAGACATTTTGCGCCGTCTCGCACCCACACAGTCCCGTGCCGCACATAGCTCCCTCTTTCTATTTTAGCACGATCTCGATCCGGATTCTGCAGAAACCGGCACATCATACCGACCAGTCATCCTGATATGATCCCTGGACGGGTTCTCGCATGACCTAGTGGGTGTGGTGGCTGCGGTGGCCGGCTGAGCACTATCAGTGAATATGCTGCCTTGCAGCAGGAACCTTGAAAGTGATTCATCTGGGGGCTCTGGACTCTAGACAGCCGTCTGAGCTCTGGAATCGGTTGGGCTCCAGGATTGGGGAATTTCTACTGCATGCTGCAGGTCAACGGGTGCCTACTGCAGGTGCTGACATGTGCGCCGTTGACGTAGCGAATCCTGATCCTTGAGCCAGCAATATTATTGACAGGCTTTCTAGGATGACTGTGATATTCTAAGTGATTAGGGATGAGCTTTATGAACATATGGCATTATGTTATTGGAAGATGGGACACATTTGGTCTAGAATAGCAAGGCATTCGGCTTGACAAATAGCCTGCAATAGTTGGAAACTAGTGGTGCCCTACAACCTTTTTTGGTTGATACAGATCGTCAATACTCTTGATCTCTTCCTCCGTGAGCTTGAAGTCGATCGCCTGTATCGCCTCGTCCACTCTCTCCTTCTTGCTCAATCCCACAATCGGCGCAGTGATGAACGGCTTCGACAATGACCACGCAAGACTCACTATGGTCATCGACACACCGCGTTTGCTGGCAATCTCCTCTATCTGCTCGCTGATCTTCTTGTCCGTCTCGGTAAACGGCTGGCCCATTAGTTTGCCATTCAGCGATTTCCCTCGCGTGGTTTCCTCAAACGCTTTCCACGGCCGGGTCAAAAAGCCCATCGCAAGCGGACTCCACGGAATCGCACCCATCCCGAACTTGGCACACGCGGGAAACATCTCCCGCTCCTCCTCCCGGTAGATAGGGTTATGGAAATTCTGCATGGAGATGAACTCGGTCGACCCGTTCATACGCGCCGTATACTGATACTCCAGCAGCTGGTGCGCCCACATCGATGAAGCCCCGATATACCGCACCTTGCCCGACTTGACAACATCATGCAGCGCCTCCATCGTCTCATTTACAGGCGTGTCGGGATCAAACCGGTGGATCTGCAGCAGATCAACATACGGCAGATCCAACCTCCTCAGACTCGCCTCGATACTGTCGAAGATGTGCTTCCGACTGAGCCCGTACTCGTTCACGTAGCCGGCATTGTCGCGTTCGTCGTTGGACATGAAGAGGGGATACTCCTTGCCGCGACCGACGGGCGCCCACACCTTGGTCGCGACGACGATGTCCTCGCGCCGCCAGTTGTATTTCTTGATCGCCTTGCCGAGAATCACCTCCGAGTCGCCGTTCGAGTATTCGCCGTGTCGAAGAAGTTGAGCCCCAATCGGTAGGCGTGGTCCAGCACGGGGAGCGCGTCTTCTTCGCCTAGTGCCCAGTCGAAGCGTTTCTCGGGGCTACCGTAGCTCATGCAGCCTACGCAGATGGGCGAGACGCGCAGCCCGCTTGATCCGAGCTGGACGTATTTCATTTTGACACTATATTAGTAACCCTAGGCTTGTGACTTCTCGACGAAGCTCTGCAGATAGATCATATACCATCGGCTCTCCCGGAAGGTCGGACTTAAGCCACTCGTTTACATCCTATTTCCGTAATGGCCGGATTACCATCTATCCTGCTCAGTTTCACTTGTGCAAGAAACAGGAAATCCAGATATTCCCCTGCGTTCAATCCACCAATGAAGCAAGCAGTACACCTCACTACTGCAATGGCGGGTATGGTAGTGCGGAGTGAGCGGGGTAGACAACAGCCATTTAACCAGATTGCAGGATGCAGGACGCATGCTGGTCCCTAGCTCACTCACTCACTTAATACTAGGATAGTTTGAGCTGTCAAGGATCAGGGTAGCTTGCCGATAATCATAGAGTTTTGGTAGATAGCGCCGAAGTAATCCCGCGTATACTGTGCAGTTGCTCCGGGACGTTCACTAACAACAATCCATATACATCTACAACATTCATCGAACCTACTACTTCTTGTAGAAATACTTCGATACAATGTAGACGCTAACCCTGCACGGAGTCCTATGTACAACCACGGAATGAACCCTCCCATCCCAGGGAAACCCCCCCAAACCACCCTGATATCAACATTCGCCCAACATGACGAATGTGGCCAACCCGTGGGCGTCAACCTATAAACCCTCGTCTCGGTCCCTCATCAGCCAAAATGTCTACAGAGAGCATCCGAAAAAGAAATACTCGAAGAGCATCAGAATGTCCCTCCGCGGCTTCCACACAAGCTCCGACACCATCGTCCTCAAAGACAAACATATTCTCAGCAGTCGCTGCAAACGGCCCGACGGCACCTGGTCCTTCTCCGAGATCGATCTGAATAATTGTCTGGGGAATAATAACGGTAAGTTGCGATGGTATCCGTGTGATCTGTTTTGGTGCACTGCGCTGGGCAGCGGATAACGGGTGCTAAGATGTGCTTTAGGGAAGTTTGTCTGGGGCGGGGACTCGTTCGCGGACAGCGCGTCGCAGGTGCATCTTGCGTTGGAAGGGGGGGAGGGGAAACCGATGTTGCATGCGCAGCTGAATGACCGGCATGGGAGTGTGCAGTCTGCGAGTGTGAATCTGGGAGAGTGTATTCAGAATGAGGCGGGGGGATTGGAATATATGCATTGTTGAGGTGGAAGGGCAGGTGTATTAGAACTACAGGAGTAGATGATCGAATATACATGAAGTTAAATCATCCGACAATACCCGTCCAGCCATTGTCCACCGGGATAAGGGCGCCGTTGATCAATTTCGAGCCCCTGCCGCAAGCTAGGGACAGGCACATGTCGGCTACATCGTCGATCCCGCACAGGGGCGCTTTGATGGCAATTAGGATCTCGACGGCTTTGTCTTTGCCCTCGACGTTGATGCCGGCGTGGAAGGCGTCGGCAATGTTAGTCTTCATGCCGCCCAGCATCAGCGCATTGCACCGGATGCCCTTGTTACCGTAGAAGGCGGCCGTGTTCTTGGTCAACCCGACAAGACCGTGCTTGCTCGCTGTGTATGCTGCGCCTACTTGGAGTTAGCAAGAGGAATACCTTGGTCGTCGGAGAACATACCCGCTGCCCAGCCGGCCTTGCCGGCTACAGAGACGATGTTGAGAATGCATCCATCAGTGGTAGGCTGCGCCAACATATTCCGCACAGCTAGTTTGCTGAGCAGAAACGGGGCCGTGAGATTCACGGCAATCACCTTATCCCACAGTGCCTCGTCGAGATCTCCCACGGGATCAAACCTGTCCATGATGCCAGCATTGTTGACCAAGATGTCGAGCTTCTTAAAGTCTGCGATGATCTGGTCAAAGAGAGTCTGAACCGCGCTCGAGGAGGATATGTCGGCCTTGATAGCTTTCAATCGACCGGTCTCCCCCAGCTCTGCCGATGTCTGCTGTAATCGGTCCTCGTTGACGTCGCAAATAACCACGTTTGCGCCAGCAGCGAGGAAAGTAGACGCAATGGCCTTGCCCAGGCCGCCAGCTCCACCAGTGACCAGGCAGGTCTTGCCGGTAAGTGAGACTTCAGATAATCGGACGAGCATATTGAATCCTGCCAAATACAAAAGAGGATGGAATAATCCAACGAAACATCCATCATGGCTGACTGTAGGCTCTTAGATATATCCTCAAGCTCGTGGAACGCCTCATTATTCACGGAACTCTGAGAACCCCCGCCGACACGCAACACGGCTTGCTAATGGTACGCCATTTCCTTTCCAAGTCGAGATCCAAGGATGGTTAACCGAAAATGGCAGGTTGACGAATTATACAGCCGTTCAAAGGTGGGGATAGTCCGCACTTGGAAGCGAACATCGTATTGCGTTTTCGGTCGGCAGTCACATGACGGACTTATTCCTGCCATTTACATAGCCACCAGATCAAAGTGTGCAGTGCATAGTACGGAGTACTAGCCAATGTTGCTATAATACTCGTGAGTCGTGACCTCGGTTTGCACCATGTGCTGAGTTGTTTGATATGACTCGGCGAAGAACCGAACATCGGAGACGGAGCGATTTGCAATTGCCGCTTATCGGCCTGAACTACATTGCGGTTGTCAGGAGGATGAGCATCTAATACAAGCCGGCCATCATGTAATATCATGATAAAGACACTTGAGATTAATTGTCGAACTCACTACTCGGGAGTGCCAGGTTCTAGTGCAAGAAATAAACATTACTAGCATCAAGCCATCCATCAGTATGGCGTCGTTTGCGTACGTCTTCCGAGTTCTGTTGGTTGAAGACTGTCCTGACGACCAACAGGAGTAATACTTTTTCTCACCAATTATATGCGGCTTTTCGGCCAGCATACTCGACACAGCTCTACTCCGCCGTGCTTGCATATCATAGAGGCCCATCAAGGACAGCCCTTGACTTGGGAACAGGCCATGGTTTAGTCGCTCGCGAGCTCAGTCCACATTTCCAGCGGGTCCTCGCCAGCGATCCATCCGCAGGGATGATCCAAGAGGCACGTCAGTTGTCCACTGGATTCCCCAACATAACTTTCCACCAAGAAAGAGCAGAAGAGTGTCCTTTTGCTGCAGATGGGCAAGTAGACCTAGTAACCGCTGCGCAGAGCGCGCACTGGTTCGACTATGCCAAGTTGTGGCCGGAGATGCGAAGAATTGTCCGACCCGGAGGCACGCTGGCTTTCTGGGGCTACAAGGACCATGTGCTCGTGTCCTACCCCAGAGCAACCAATATCATCAATGAGTATGCATATGGGCAGGATCCTTGGCTGCTGGGAAGCTACTGGCAGCAGCCTGGTCGGAGCATAGTGCAGCAGAAACTGCGAGCTGTCCAGCCGCCGGTCGAGGACTGGGAAGATGTCTCTCGTGATGAGTATGAGCCTGGAGCAGAGGGAGGGACACGGTTCATGCATGCGAGGATAACTTTGGGGTCCATGGAGGAATATGTCCGAACATGGAGCTCGTTTCACGCATGGCAGAGGAAATGGCCGGATAGGACGAGGAGGGCTCCTGGGAATACCGATCAACGTGGTGATGTTATTGATGAGATGATGGACAAGATTCGAGAGACGGAACCGTCTTTCCAGCGAGATGATTGGAAGGAAGCGGAGGTGGATGTTGAATGGGGGGGTGCGTTGATTTTGGCGCGGAGAAGGTAGCCGCTATGTCGCACCTATTAACGACATGGATCCAAATGGAAATATGAAGACATACCCTGACAAAATCCGACAATGTAAGGCCACGTTTTGGATGAGTTGGAGTAGATAAACTTTCGTGTCAACCAAGGGCGTATATGCACGCCCTGTCGATGGCATCCATACCCCACCAAATATCAACCCACACATTTATTACGACGGTCGAGTATAGAGCTCAAGCCCGAAGCAATGAAAGAGAATTATTGTTTTCAAGAAGACACTTTGCCTTCCAGTGCTTAGAATCCATTCATCTGGGTCGCCCATGTCGTGTCCCATCTAGATCCCTCGAGCTATTTATTCCTGGACTATTCTACGTTCATCAACAGCTGGCACAAATTAACCAGTGTCATCTTCTTTAAAAATGGCTCGAACCGCAACTCTTCCAACAAATTCTATCACAATCCGTATACACCAACCTGCAGACATAGACTGGATCGTCTCCCGCCACGACACCCTCTACGCAGACGAATACAACTTCAACGACAAGTTCATTGCTCTAGTCTCCAAGATCGCGTCAGACTTTCAGCAAAACCATGATCCTACCTCGGAGCGCTGTTGGATCGCGGAGCGTACTGACAAGACCACCAATGAGCCAGTGGGCTGTATAATGCTTGCGAAGGACATCGACTCGCCCGATACAGCCAGACTGCGCTTACTTCTTGTGGAGCCGAGCGCTCGGGGAATGGGAGTCGGAAGATCCTTGATCAAGCAGTGTATCGAGTTCGCGAGAGAGGTCGGATACAAGCGGGTGGTGCTCTGGACGCAGAGTATCTTGGGCTCGGCGAGGAAGCTATACAAGGCTGAAGGATTTAAGTTGGTGAAGGAGGAACAGCATGAAGGGTTTGGGACGACACTGGTAGGGGAGTTATGGGAGCTGGAGTTAGGGAAGGTGACTCAGGACGCATAGTACAAGGGCTGAGTGTGTAACGGCTTCAGTTGAGCCCTGCGTAGGGGTTAATGAACTCGATTGCAAGTTATACTTATCATGAAGGTAATCCAGAAATGCGAAACTGATAGCGCGCTTTAGTGTACATTTGTGTCTTATTGCCTAGTCAGGCTGATCAGCTGGTAAGCCATCACAGCCTTGTGTCCCTCATCCTACGCTGAAGCTTGGATCACATGTAACACTCAGCAAGAAGTTTCACATAGGTAGAGCTTGGGAGCACAGCGCGGAGACCCCGATCATGGAGCAACTCTGATTTGACCATTCGTGCCATGACCGCAATATGAACACGCTCGGGAGGCTTCAGGTGTCATTAGCGAGCGCAACACGAGAAACTACAATAGCTCTCGCCAATAAACTTTGAATTCTCCCTACTCCAAGTTGAGCCACCAGATGAATACCGCGAACCTGGGTTCATACTTATCAGTCAGGCAAGCATTTGCTGGTCTTTGCATGCTAGAGTCCGGTTCGCTTGATATCGATCTGGAGGACCTCCATTTTGTCTTTGTATTTTCTCCAGGAAACTCTCTCTATATTGCTGCACCTCCTCTGTGCAACCCGGGCTCTGAACACCTGCCTTACGCTATTTGGAGAGGCATCGAGAGCGTGGCCGGCCCGGTATCATAGATATGATTCGGCCAGTAAGTTTGGAAGTGCGTAATCCTGAACATTGGAATTCGTGAATCACACAACGTGTTCGACTGCAAGCTTGAGGACGCCTCGAGAGCACCTCCACGTCCGCTTCAGTAGTTTGTACTTGCGGTGGACGTTGGTCGACACGGTCCCAGTTCAGAGAGATATCCCTTGCCAGAGGCAGTGATATCTGTCTTTGACTCGGGAATTGGGTTGCTGATATCGACATATTGGAGCCCCTGGAAAGTGGCTCTGGTGAGAACCCAGCAATTCCGTGAATGTAGTTATGCAAGCCAAGTAGGGTAGACTCAAGACCTGCGTATGACTGTGTCAATCAAAATTGGGATGAGATTTTGGATCCCCCTACTGAGCCAGCCGTATTAGATACTTGCAACTGGCAGGCAAGACTAGCGGCAATGAGTATCTGTCCAAGTCTTCAGCACCGTGTCATCCTATTTCAGAATCATCATTGCTGGAGCTGTGCAGACAAGGCTGTTCGGGAGCCAGATATTTGAGAGTCCCTAATATGGTGTCCATATTGTAGTGTTGATTGAAATATGCAGGCATCACATAATAGTAAGGTAGCCGATGACGATCGGAGCAAAGGAATGCTGACTGAATTCTGTCTGATAAAATGTTCAAGGACGGCTAGAACATCTCCACAGTACTATCTCCGTCTACTTATCTCGGCTTTCGTTGCTTTTGCCTACCTGATGAATTGTGAGTATTCCTGAATCCTGATTGATCCCCATCCCGAGAAACGAATACTTTGCAGTGTGATGATGACTCCGGTGAGGACGGGATCGCCTGTCCAATTGTAAGAACGGATCCTAGAGAAGGAGTGGCTTTTTCGATATTTGTCCCGGTTCGTCACCTGGGAAAGTTGGATGAGATGAAAGTGGAGTAGAGCAACGGCGTTTTCAGAAGACAGGTTCTTCTTGACAAATGCAATGACACTCCACGATATCTCCGCACTTTCTTACATGTGCCGGGCCTATCATTAGACTATCTCACATTTCTCTTAGCTGATTCGGCTTTCCTCGATGCCCCTCACAATCCTTCGACTTTAATCTCCAATTCGACCCACCAGTCATCGCGGAGACCTTCTCGATTGGGAAATCTTGGTCGACAATCTATCTTATCCTTATCAATCCTTCGCTCCCTACCTTCAACACTATGGCTTCTCCGTCTGTTGTTCCAATCTGAACGGGTGATTCCCATCTCAAGGGACGCTGCAGGCTCGTGGAGGCGTTTGGGAGGGGGAGTCGAAGTTTAAAAGCCCCTTGCCTTCGGCAGGGTCATTTCATCTCGAACCGGTTCGTTGAATGATCAACTTCTGAAGACTTGCAAGAGAGAGGTATTCTGTGCCTACTGTCACCATGGCGGTCATCGAGGAGGATAACAAGCAAGTCTTTCAGCCGACAGCCGGAGAAGATGTACGTCTTGAGAATCTTGGCTATGAACAAGGTGCGAAAGATGCCCTCAGTGGATGGACTATACTAACGTAGAGCAGAGCTCAAGCGGACCTTTGGCCTGTTGGGTATGATCGGTTTCAGCTTCAGCATCGTAACATCGTACGCATTCATACTTCCTTGTTTCAGGCTGGAAATTCATACTGACTTTTCAGATGGACCGCCTTGAGCGGCGTCTTTATTGTAGGAGTCAGGTCGGGTGGCCCTCCGGTCATGGTATTCGGTTACATCGGCGTCAGTCTTCTTGCACTTGCAGTTGCGATGCCAATGGCGGAGATGTGTTCCATGTACCCTGTCGCAGGGGGACAGTACTCGTGGGTGGCCGCTCTGGCTCCCCCAAAGATAGCACGCGGGCTGTCATACATAAGTGGATGGTTCATGGTTATAGGTATGTCGGTAGATTCTCGGTCATTAGGTACTTTGCCGCATACTTATTTGAAGCAGGAGTTCTTGCAATGGGTGCCACGAACAATTACATTGCAGCCAACTTTGTCCTTGGAATGGCCAATCTCGTCTTTCCCGAATACACCATTGAACGATGGCAGACTGTTCTTGTCGCGTACCTCGTTGCTTTCATAGCGGCCGCAATCAATATATGGGGCTCTCACTTATTCAACCGCATATCACGCTTCATCCTGGTCTGGAACGTGGGCTCCTTCATCATCACCATGATCGTGCTCCTCGCCACAAACGACCACAAACAGCCCCCTGCGTTCGTCTTCTCCGAGTTCCAAAATTTCACCGGCTGGGGTCCGGCGATGGCCGCGATCGTCGGGATCCTCCAGTCCTGCTTCGGGATGTGCTGCTACGATGCACCCGCACACATGACCGAGGAGATGAAGTCCGCCTCGAAAGAAGCCCCCAAAGCCATCATACTCTCCGTCGTCCTTGGCGCTGTCACCGGCTTTGCCTTCCTCCTCACCCTCTGCTTTTGCATCGGCGACATTAACGAAACAGCCAGCACATCCACCGGCGTACCCGTCATTCAGATCTTCTACGATTCTACCGGCAGTAAGGTCGGTACGTGCTTCCTGTCTAGCATGATCGCCGTCATTGTCATCGTTGCGGGAAACAATCTGCTCGCTGAGGGCTCACGCTCAGTCTACGCGTTCGCCCGCGACCACGGCCTGCCCTTCTCCAAGGTCTTTGCCAAAGTCGAGAGCAAGCGCCAAGTGCCCGTCAACGCTGTGCTGCTGACACTGGCCGTGCAACTCGCTCTGGATGCTATTGATTTTGGCACCACGACTGGATTCGAAACTGTCATTGCGATCGCAACAGAGGGATTTTGTATGTCCCACTATACCCCGTCCTATTCTCAATCCCCTGCTGATCCTCTATAGATTTATCATACGCAATGGCCCTCTTCAGCCGTCTCCTCGGCTACGTCACTGGCCACCAGAAAGAAATGAAAGGACCTTTTGCTCTGCCACCGTGGATCTCCATCACCCTCAATGTCCTGGGGCTTCTCTTCCTGCTCTTCGCATCCATTACTTTCAATTTCCCGACCCATTACCCCGTTGACAAGGACTCAATGAACTATACTTCTGCCGCGATTGGCGTGGTTGCGCTAATTGGTCTGGCTACCTGGTTCACTACCGGTCAGAAACACTTCACTGGACCGGGAGGTATGAACATGTTGCATGGACGGGAGGAGGTGGTTCGATCGGAGGCAGAGGTAGAGAAGAAGTAACCGTGATGCATATTGTATATATCTTATATAGATATAAGAATCCACAGAACCCAACACTTGCTGTTGACAGACGATGCCGGAAGTGTAAGGTAGACAAAGGCAGGTATATCTGATGTACTACAATTGGACAAGAATAGCAACCACCAAAGCGAGTAATGAGTGAGCTACCTCCGCAGCCACAAGAGTAGTCGTCTCCCCAGTTGTCTCTGACACCTCGACCAGCCCCAATCACCTCGAGCCCGCTAGCGCGTCGTGAATTGAAAGCAGTTCATGAGTGGTAAAGCCGCTGACGGGCTGGGCAACGCGAATTGCTCGTGTACACTGTCAGACGCTCTCCAATTAGGTAAGGGAACCGACAGTTATACGAGAAGCTAATCTAGATGAGCTCTCCTAAAGAAAGCATTCTCTGCATTTCAACCTACATTTCTCATCTTACAGTCTAAACTGTTGCTGCAATTATCAATCGACATTTTCTCTCCCTAGGCCCGCTTCCCCTGACAGTCCGGTCGATAATTTGAGGATCATATACTACATACCCCCTGGCAAAGAACTGCAAAAGACATGGACCCATTCAGCCGACTTCCTTGGTTCGCGCTAAGAAATATTCTCTCAGATCTCCCAGATTTGCTCACGCTGCAAAGATTGTACAATGCATCTCCGGGTGTCGCAGCATTCCTGCACAAAAATAACTATCTATTTGCCGTGATTGTGGACGAGATCATCGGAGGCCCAGCTCGCGAAAGGGGCCTGCTGCCACATGTTCAGGACGCAGTCAGGCTCTTGGTTCTTGTCTGGACCCGAGCGGCGGATTCAAAGCCTCGACAGGAGAACGATAAACCTGCAGAGGCACCGGAGGAGTCATACATAGACATTCTAAGCATCCCGGGATACGTTAAGGAGCGGTTCCCGCAGAAACAGCCTCCAATTGAGAAGACAATATCCAGGTCGACGTCGTCGGCCATTCTTTGTCGGCTCCTTGCCATGATGACCCGATTGCGACGCATCGCGCATGCATGCTTTCATTCAATGATTGCTAGGTGCCTAAAGTTGCGGGTGAAGCATTTGCCCAAGGGGGGGATATATATCAATACGCGTGGTGTAGTTGACCGTAGTCAACGCCCTCGGGGAATCCGTTACGTTCCCGTTGATATCGGACCACCAACGTACTTTGAGGAGCAACGCTTGCTTTATGCTTTACTCTGTATTGTCCTGTGTCATGAACTTTGGAAGATACACGTGGAATGTTCGGTTATAACGACAGACGGGCAGCCGGTACGGACGTTGCTGGATGACAACGTGGTAGGGCTCTGGAAGACACTATTCAAGATGCTCAAGGAGAACCTGGTCGAGCAGATAAAGACTCTTCTTGAATGGCTAGATGGACAGGCAGGTGGGCGTGGAAAGGTGTACTCTTGGATGCTCTCCGGTTCAATCCCGGAGAAATTCAGCCATTGCTGCGGTCGTTATACCTCGATGACGGATGAGCAATGGGCTATTACTCGTAGCAATTCTACCCGAGGCTCACAGTGTCTATATGAGTGCAGTACGAACAATTTATCACCTGCGTACGTTACTCCGCCTTTCGCCCATATGGTCTTGTATTTTGGGATCGCATCAGACTGGACGCGCTGGGTTTCCAGGAAAAACAACCAATTTGAGCCGAACGTTTTTCGTCTGGTCTTGCATACTCTCAGAAGATGATTGGGACGAAATGTTAAGACTGCAGGCCGTGACTCCACGGTATGACGAAGCAGACTTTGATATAAATGATCCATGGATAGCTGGGGATGTCGCTGTATCAATTCCTGCGCATGAAACATAGGACGATTCCTATGTCTTCAGAAGTCAACTCGCTAACATGATATACGCCTAATGGGAGTATTGCCATGGTGTCACGGTCGATCCCAATGACGACAAGAGAGCGAATGGATAGACGCAAGTAAAGTCAATATGCAGTCTCAGACCCGTCCCAGTCAGTAAGACCATTATTTTGACGTAGAAGGAAAGATGACGGAATCGCAGAGGGAAATGAGGAGTCGATCTTGTCAGCAAAGGCCTTATCGATAAGCACCAAAAACCCCACACCAGCTATCTTTTCCCCTCCAAGATGACTTCTCCAATTTTCTCAGATTAGCACTACACGTACACAATTCGCTACTTTTGCAAATATAAACCTGACAGGACATTACATCTTCCATCATGGTGCGTCACTACCCATCCGCTCGATGTCCTACCCACACTACCCATTCAAGGCATGCGCTGACCACAACCACAATCCAGCCTCACGCCGACTCCTCCTACTTCTCAACTTCCCAAGAACCCACCAAGTCAGAGGTATATGCACAAGTCCTCGAACAAGCCAAAGGCCTAGTAACAGGCCAGCGCAATTGGGTAAGCTTTTCCCTACATCAGCTCCCCTTCCCTTTACCTAACTCGCTAACACAACTACAGGTCAGGTAAACACACCTACCAACCCCAACCAAGCACACATGATCTTGGTCTTCTAACAAACACAGCAACTTCTCCAACATCGCCTCCCTCCTCTGGCACGCCTACGCCGCCCTCCCATCCCCCTCCTCCTCCGTAAACTGGGCAGGCTTTTACATCCGCCAGGATAAATTCCCCGCGCTCGGCTCGTCCCAGAATACACCAAGCAGTAACACCAACCTGCTACTCCTGGGCCCATTCCAGGGCCGCCCCGCCTGCCAGGAGATCCGCTTCGGGCGCGGCGTGTGCGGCGCCGCAGCGGAGAAGCGCGAGACGGTGATTGTGCCGGACGTGTTGAGTTTCCCGGGCCATATCGCCTGCGACGCGAGTAGTCGGAGTGAGATTGTGGTGCCGATTTTGGCTGGTGGGGAGGTGAGTTGTTGATTCCGTTGGTGGAGGGTTGAGCTGTGTTGGGTTGTGTTGCTAATTCGTGGTGATAGACGGTTGCGATCATCGATGTGGATTGTACGGAGCCGGCTGGGTTCGATGAGGAGGATAAGAAGTGGTTGGAGGAGCTTGCTTCGCTCTTGTCGGAGTGTTGTGATTGGTAAGTGTGGTATATGTGGTATGATGTTTGACTAGGCCTTACTTCCCGAGTCGAGAGATGTGCCTTTTGAAAAGATTCTCTGCTTCAAACTATGGTTTATAATTTGGCTTGCGCATGGTATCATGTAAGTATATGAAGAATATTGTCCGAATGTCTCGAATTGAGGTAGGTCCATTTGTTTAATATTTCGATGTACCATAGCAAATTTCCGCTCATTAAGCAAAAGCGGGAGAATACTCAGATCAAATGAGTATTGCAAAAGCAAGTAGTAACGAAGTGCAATCTTAAGTACACCTTTATGCTTTGAGCAAGATAGTCTATGACTGTATAAGCATCATCTCTGAAGTTCTATGCCATCGTTCTTCGGGCAAAGTGAATAGCCCATGTCCCTTGAGCAAATATATAACCAACGCCAATCCCATAGTGGATGCGCAATGTCTCGCGGAGAGGATCCGCAGTAAAGTGTAACACGAATAAAACACAAGCGAAATATACAAAAGGGCCAGCGCAGCCGGCTACATATTGAGCAGGCTCATCTGTCGCTTCATCGGACTGGTAGTTCCCGAGTCACCGTCTTCGCTGGGCCCGATACCGCTGTCGGTGCCAACCAGACCAGCATCGGTATCAATGTCCCACTCCTCCTCTTCCTCGTCTGCGAATATGTCATCAGAGCCATCGCGATTCCAGCTTTTCTGGACCGCTCCGCGCGTGTTCCAACGCAATGCTCGTTGAACACTTTCAAACCATTCCCCGCTACCGGAGACCACAGTAGGAAAGGGGTACTGGCTGGCTTCAACGGTCACATAGTCCCCTTGGCGGAGTTCAACGCGTCCCTTGCCATCAAATGAACAGTAGGCACTGGAGCGAGATCCCGTCGGAACGGCGATACGGAGCAACAGCGAGTCTGACAGTACCATTGGACGGAAAGACAGAGTGTGGGGGCAGATAGGAGTAAGAAGAATGCCAGGAATAGAAGGATGGATAAGAGAGCCACCTGCGGACAGAGAGTACGCCGTAGATCCTAAACCGACGCGTTAGCCAAAGGGTAAACCATTTGAACCAAGTTCAGAGAACTTACCGGTTGGCGTGGAGAAGATACAGCCGTCCGCCTGGACCACGGTCAAGAGATCATTGTCGGCGTACAACTCAAGATTTGACACATAAGGCGAAGGCCCCCGATCTATAACTAACTCGTTTAGGACCTCGAATTGCTCTCCTTCTTCGACTGCACCTGCTTCAGCCCCTTTGCTTCGGTCCTTGCGGAAGACCGTGCAGGTGAACCGCATCCTCAGGTTGACGCGCATGCCGACGTCTCCCATGACAGCATTCAAATGTGACTTGTAATTCTCAAATTCGAAATTCGTCAGAAAGCCCAGGCTTCCCAGTGAGAAGCAGAGCACCGGCGGAACGATCCGCTGGAAAAGCCACGACGTGAATAGGACCGTACCATCTCCGCCTAACGTAAGAACAAGATCAAATTTCTCGGGAGCGGCCCAACAGAGATCCGGAGTCCAGTAATGCAACATCTGCTCAAATCGTGGCTCCGATTGCAACAGTCCCGCTGCGTCGAATCGTTTGGAATTCCGCAGCTTGGAATCGACCCATACATTAACCCCTAGGTCGCTCCCATATCGCGGGGTCGAGAGAAGCCACTCTGCTAGCTCTCGCGTCAGGTGCACCAGGCGGTTATCGCGCGCCTTTGTCACAATCATGACATTTTTTACTGCCCGTTTGATCGGCCGCCTTTGAAGCTGCTTCGACACCTCCCGCACTCCGGTTGCAGTTTGTACCAGCCGAGAATGAGACAACCACTCATCGTCGGCGATTTCCTCCAGCACCTTCTGAATATTGACGGCATCGTCAAACCGTCGATGGAAAAAGCATGGCGATTGCAGGACCAGCTGCGCCGTGGAGGGCGACCTTTCCAGGTATTTGCCCAGCTGTAGGTTCGAAAGAGCCGCGGAGAGTTTCTGTGACGATGAGTTGCTGGACCGTTGTTGCTCTGTCTCCGCTGAAGTACTCGAGTTGGGGCTCGTGGCTAGTAATCCTAAAGACGCCGCCAGCGGCGCATTGGAATTGGGATTGGTGCACAGCGACGGTCGCGAAGCGAGGGCCTTCATGATCGTCTGTCGGGGTATAAGGTCGCTTGACGATGCGTTCTTGCGGTGCTGCGAACCCAAGGGGCCCGCACTGCGGAAAGAGAGGAAAGGGGACGAAGGTAACGAGGCGACGGGCGGCGCTTCTTCCTGGTGAAGCTCAAGCTTCTGCGGGACGTTGGTCCTACTGTTGGACAGTCCAGAGGCGGGTTGGTTCACATGAAGATCATTTGTCGACTGAGAAGGATCTATATGACTGGCATAGTCCCGAAGGAGCGATGCACCAACGGTTCTGGACGTCAAGGGACAAGAGGCTGGAGAAGTTGGACGTGATAGTGGGGCTGCGGAGGAGAGCGGTGGTGATGAGGATGACGAGAGAGCGGAGGATTTAGAGGGAAGGGAGTCGGACTGGGGTTTTAGGGGGCCATGGCTTGAAGAAGAGGAAGCCATGAGGATGACAAAGGCTGCAAATGAGTAGCAGAGGTGTAGGGCCGACTGCCTTGGGAGGGGGGATTTGTGATTATTCCATTGACTTGGGGGGTGTTGTGTCTCTCAGACGTAAGACGGAATTATTATTGTTATTTCCAGCGGAAGGTGGACAGAAAGGGAAGAATGGCCAACATGGACGGGGAAAAGGACCGAGTACTAGGCACTAAGCTAGTACTGGAGAAGGCGGAGCAGCCGCGGCAGCCGTGGTCGGATGTAACGGGTTTTGGCGGGCAGATTACAGTCGTCCTCCTCAGCCAGTGATCGCGAGTAAGAATCTCCAGCAATCAATGGCAGTCCAGTCAGCACTTCGATCTGCTTCCATGGTCAGGTGTCCGTAATCTTTCATCATCATTCCACGTCGATCACTCATCACAAAAGCATGTTGTTTTTGCATTACCAGAACTAGGTGAAGCAGCATTGGTGCTCCCAAGAGGGGCTACTTTATTCTTAGGATAAGAATGGCATTTCTTTAACATTAAAGGCTCTGGTCCCAGGAGTGGGAGACAGTCATCCAGCGGACCCGGAAGCCTGAGGGAGCGGGATCGTGGCAATAAGGTCAAGTCAACAAAGATTCATTCGTATTCGCCAGTTTGCTGGACATGCTGTGAATATCATATAGAATTTGAGTTTATAGCTGGTTAATTCAGTCCCATCTTCTGCACGTTGGAGGGGTTGTTCCCTCCAGTTGGTGATCCATATTTTGAAATTCAGTGTCAGAACGGATAGCCCCAGGAACGACCAAAGATATTCTAGCAGAAGTCGACAGCGTGATAGCACATTGGGGCCAGAAACTTTAGAGCCGCAGACTAGATTATTGTGTCGTGCGGTATGGGCCCGTGGAAGAACCCATCAAACATGGTGACACCGGAGAGCAAAACGCCTGTGCGCACCAATGGAAGGGCCCCAGGATGTGCCTTGCAATAGTGCGGACGCCAAAATGCGCTCTGGTCATGCCAAAAGAGCGAATCTGACGTTGCCGAATGCGCAGGGAGCCATGGCTTGAAGAAGCATCCCAAAATAGCACCTATGTGCTATCAGTATGTTCATGCAGCTGTGATCACTCTGGCCCCAACATCACGCCGCATCAATCTTCCAAGCATAATCCTGGTAGACCTTGTCCTCAATAGTCTCCCGCATAAATTTCTCCAACCCTTGTTCACCTCCCTCTTCCTTCATAGTGACATCGCCATCGGCACTGCCAGCCAATGTCCCGCGACAGATTACGGAGGCATGCTGATGAACTCTTTCCCAAGTAGCGAAGTCGAATGTTCCCTGGCTTTCATTCAGAAGTAGGTGGCCCTTGCTGGAGAATGCCAGAACGTGAAGAGATTTCGCGGTTGCTGCTTGTCTAACAGAAGGCTGTCGGATAATATCTCCTGACGATGTGACCGCCAGGATGGATGCAGTAAAGGTCATCGATAGGGAAACAGAAGCCGAGATTAGAGCCAGAAGAGAAGCATGGAGAAGAGCAGGAAGGAGAGTCAGATACTGTTGAGTACAGGCCAAAGTCAGCGATGCCCACTTGCGCCAAAGTTTAACATTTCACCACCATTGAAATAAACACTCACCGAATCTCCCCGACAGACATTTTGGCCACCCACTATCGCCAATGTAAGGACAACGCCTCGACGAGGGTATCCCTTCTCTCGTCCCAGAATCAACCTTCCCAGCATAGTCTTCAGGATGCCCTCGACATATCTTTCACCAGCCCCACCAGGAGTGGTGCCAGGCTTCACAAAAACTTCGATAGTCGCCTCTTCAGGCTTCAATGCATCACGGCGACCAGGCAGCTCGACAGGAGCATTTACGGAACCTAGGACGTCGAACCCCGTCGAAGGACATTTGTAGGATGCCGACCCGTCGGCGCGGGTAAGAGGAGTAAGGGAAGCGGCCGGTCCAACCATTGTAGCTTGCGATGATTGCCGGTCGGAAACAAGTTGAACGCCTAAATAGAGACCGGCGAAGAGCACCAAGTCTTTCTGGGAAAACGGACAATCGACGGAGAGTCTGGTCAGAGTAGGAGCCGCTGTGTGGAGAGAGAGAGAGAAAGCGTTGGCCTTCCGCCTGGAAATTTTTGGCAGCAAGGTTGAACAATGCGGGCCGTTTCCCGATTGGCCCGCTCCCTACCAGGTGCTTTAGGTATGGCACCCACGCATGGCAGGGAACAACACACAATACGGAGTACATCCAAAACAACCAGTACGATCTTGTCCTGTCCAGCTATATTTATTCTTGTTTCTGCATGATTCAGGTAGTAACAGAGCACACCGGGCCCAAGATCCCCGCCGTATCCGCCGCTCAACTCAAGAGGACACAGGATACTGGCGACGCAGTAATTTTGCCTACTCAGGCAAGCAACATCAATCTCGGGCACCCATACGGAGCGAATAAGAACTAGATTCAGAATGCGTCTCCTCTCTTTCGAATCATACCAAGCGGAACTACTCCGTATCATGTGACATACTGTAACGGCCAAAGCTATCGAAGTAGCGTCATTCCTCTCGGTTTGGGTCTTCCTCTTTCCAACACATGAGTTAGTAGCACTTCCAAAGTGTTACATCTTCAATGCCCAGGTGCCGAGAACATTGGCAAGGTGGCAGTGAATGACTCTCAAGGCCAAGGATTTACGAGTCAATTCTGGGACTACTGCTCCATTCGCGGAGAAGGTTGTCCGTCACGCGAGAATCGTTGTACTTGAGCTATCAGTAATTGGCACCAGCTCATCTGCACTGGCGCCTGCTGTATACTTGTTACATCGAGTTAGATGTAGCTAGATATGCATTGTAGCAAAATCCTAACTCGAATACTGTTTCTGGCCGTGCATGACGGCTCACGTGGTTCTGGGTATCTTGCCGGATTCGTTCACACTGATGTATGTGAGCATGCATGGCTAGCTCGCATCCTAGGCCTTGAGTAAGTATCATAGCTTTTGACTCTGGGAACGAATCATAATAGAGTAATAATCCTTGTCGGCCTCGGCGAGGCTGTCCTCGGATCGATCGTCGACCAATCTAACGTCCAGCCAGCCATGGCCCAAGCCTTTAGCGGCCCCAGAATCTGGTCCCCCTAACCAGTGTTGATTACGCTGAGGTACGAATGAACTCGGCCAAGATAGAGCGATCCATCATTTTCCAATGAGATTCCATGCAGGAGATGAAGGAAGCATGGCAACCCCTCACAATCCTCACAACGCCAGGCCTTCATCCATACGATGACTGGTCACTGGTATATCTTCGAATGATCCCCGCATATGTATTTGCCTTCTAACTTTCACTTGTCATTCAACATCAGAGACACACGACCCATCCCATCATCGTTCACCGAGGTTCGCAAGTCTGATATTCATCAAAGGGGTTTCCCACGTCCGTACGAACCTTAATTGGATGGGCATTGAAACGTCTCCGCCTGATGTCGAGGAATCGACGGAGCCTCCTATATGTCCTTTTACGGACAAACACACTCCAATCTCAAGCAATCACACACGTGAAGTAAAAACAGAACTCAGCGTGGCGAAGCTAGAGTATCCTGCCACTCTAGAAACCTCGACGCCACAGGCCAATAAATCGGCAAATGCTGCCTTTAGCAATGATGATGAGAGCTCAGCTCACTGTGCACACACTCTCTCTCCCGAACAACTGGCAAGTCTTCTCCAGGTCGATGTTCAGTAAGTTCATCATTTCCGGTCCTTGCTCCGTCTGTCTGCCACCTCTCTCTGACTCGACTTTCCAGAAATGGCTTGTCAAGTACGGAAGCTGCCACTCGCTTGGAGCGGGATGGCCCGAACAGGGTTCAAGAAATCGAGGGCGTATCGACCTGGAAAATACTGTTGAGGCAGGTTTCCAATAGTCTAACTATGGTATGGTTATTCCCGCAGGACCACACTCCGTCTGTCAAATTTCCAAGTTGCCAAATGATACCAATGTAAACCCAGGTTCTCCTCATCACTATGGCTATATCCTTCGGTATCCATGACTACATCGAGGGAGGTGTGATCACAGCAGTCATCGTCCTCAACATTGTCGTAGGGTAGGTTTATATACTCTGATTTCTGGTGGTCTCAGACTGATCCATATTCCTTAGTTTCGTCCAAGACTACCGGGCAGAAAAGACAATTATGTCGCTGCATCAACTCTCCGCGCCTGTATGCAAGGTATTGCGAGACGGCCGCGTGGTCTCCGTTCCGGCGGAGTCTGTTGTCGTTGGCGATGTTGTTCAACTCACAGTTGGCGACATCGTTCCTGCAGATCTGAGATTGATCGACGGTACGAACGTATCAATGGATGAGGCCTTGCTAACGGGCGAATCTTTGCCTGTGAACAAGACCGCACAGATTGTGCTTACTTCCCCCAATATGCCCATCGGCGATAGAACCAACATGGCATATTCTGGATGTAGCATGACACAAGGACGGGCAACCGGAATCGTCACTGCTACCGGAATGAAAACCGAAGTGGGCAGAATAGCTAAACTTCTCCAAGAGACTTCAGACGACGCCGAGTCCAGCAGGCTCGTTCGAGCCGTCCGCCATGTCAAATCAACAGCGGAGAATCTCCTCGGCCTTATTGGTACTCCGCTACAGGTCAAGTTGAGTAAATTTGCGCTCCTTCTTTTTGCTCTCGCAGTACTCCTGGCAATTATCGTCTTTTCTGTCAACAAGTGGGACCTTGAAGGAGAAGTCTTGATATATGGAATAGCCATTGGCGTGGCCGTAATTCCAGAATCCCTAATTGCTGTGCTCACGATAACCATGGCGGTGGGCACCAAAGCAATGGCAAAGGGGAACGTTATCGTCCGGAAGCTTCAATGTCTGGAAGCTGTTGGGGGTGTCACAAACATTTGCTCTGACAAGACAGGAACCTTGACGCAAGGAAGGATGATTGCGCGTACGGCGTGGATACCAGGTGCTGGTACTCTGACTGTTCAGGACACCACCGACCCGTACGACCCTACTAGCGGTTTAGTTCAGTTGAACGGGAGTGACTGGGTTCCTGAAAAACATGGTGATCACCCGGCTCTCTCTACTTTTCTCGTCACAATCTCTCTATGTAATATGTCAGTCGTACAAAATGAAGAGTCATCTGGCCCTTCAGGTAGTCGCTGGACTGCTGTGGGGGAACCCACCGAGGTCGCCCTGAACGTTCTGGCGCTGCGTGTTGGTTACGAGAAATCGACGATACTGCAGAGAGACGGTATGCAGCTCCACACAGAGTATCCGTTTGACTCTTCTATTAAGCGGATGACAATCGTTTACAAAAATTCGCGCGAAAACATCAACGAGGTGTATACGAAGGGAGCTCCCGAAGCTGTTCTACCAGGCCTCGCCATATCTGAAAAGGAAATGGACGACATTCAGTCTGAAGCTGATAGAATGGCCGGGGAAGGTCTTCGAGTTCTCTGCATTGCACACAAAAGAACAACACTCGAAGACCAATCCCAAGTGTTTCCACGCGCCATGGCTGAGGCCAATCTCGAGTTCTGTGGTCTTGTAGGGCTCTACGATCCTCCCCGTGTCGAAACCGCTGCTGCTGTTCGAAAGTGTCAGATGGCCGGAATCACCGTGCATATGCTCACTGGCGACCACATCAAAACGGCGACAGCAATTGCGTCGGAAGTGGGAATCCTTGGTTCAAAGATGGATGCCAGATCATGTCGCTTGGTCATGGCCGCTGCCGAATTTGATGAACTGTCTGATGCTGACATAGACGACATCGAACAGCTACCCCTTGTGATCGCTAGATGTAGCCCTGCAACAAAGGTTCGAATGGTTGAGGCGATGCATCGACGTGGCGCTTTCTGTGTGATGACAGGCGACGGGGTCAACGACTCGCCCGCCCTGAAACGAGCAGATGTTGGCATTGCAATGGGCAAGAATGGCAGCGATGTTGCAAAGGAGGCGGCCGACATGGTACTCACAGACGATAACTTCTCATCGATTGTGAAGGCAGTGGAGGAAGGAAGACGACTTTTTGATAACATTCAGAAGGTAATTTCGACTTGGCGATTTTGTATGGCATGACTGACACCTGCAGTTCCTGATGCACCTGCTTATATCAAATATCGCTCAGGTGATCTTGCTCTTGGTCGCTCTGGCTTTCAAAGATAATCAGGGCAACTCAATATTTCCTCTTTCGCCGCTTGAAATCCTCTGGGCCAACTTAGTCACTTCGTCGTTCCTGGCTTTAGGGTTGGGATTGGAAGAAGGGCAGCCTGATCTGATGTACCGTCCACCACATGACTTGAAGGTCGGCGTCTTCACCAAGGAGCTTATCACGGACAAAATGATCTACGGTACATTCATGGGATCTCTGTGTCTGGTGGCCTTTGTATGCGTCATCTATGGAGCCGGTGCTGGTATTTCTGACCTGGGAGAGGATTGCAACAATGGCTGGAACGAAACCTGCGACGTCGTCTTCCGAGCACGTGCCACAACCTATGCCTCACTGACATTTCTTCTGCTGATCACGGCGTGGGAGGTCAAACATTTCTCCCGGTCTCTGTTCAATCTAGATCCTGATAAATATCCCGGCAAGCTCTCTGTGTTCCAGTCCATATGGAGAAATCGTTTCCTGTTTTGGGCAGTGATTGCCGGCTTCGTTGTGGCCTTTCCAGTGATCTACTTGCCTGCCGTCAACAGACTGGTTTTCAAACATCAAGGTATCGGATGGGAGTGGGGAATTGTCTTCGGATGTGTCGCTGTGTACCTGGCGCTTGTGGAAAGTTGGAAGGCAACCAAGAGGGCTTACGGGATTGGAACCGGGAAGAACTCAATGCTCACCATGATGGATGCTGAGATGAGAGCCGGTTTGACGCCATCTACTCTTTTGTCGATGAGTGCCAATGCCAGCGTGGAGATGAAGTAGAGGACGTGGGGAGCAAGAGCTGGGGGGTGAATGTTGAAATAGAGCCTGAGAATGCTCAACCATTTTCGGCAGCTCCGACGGTTCTGACTTCTGGCTAGTGTTCAACACACATTGCTCTTCGTCTTTTGTTGTCGACTAGATTACCTTTTGACGATTTCTTTTTGCTATGATTGCAGATTCTCTTACCTTAGTATTCGTGTTGCGCAAATCCATCAACTTATGATTGGTTGCTTTGAATATATATTCAACGGTGTCTCAGAACTGGCGATGATGACGGCCGGGTAAACTAAATAACCATAAGCAGCGATCAATCAAGGGATATCAGCCCTGCTGCTACTTTGACGCCACCTCTGAACTCTGGGAATATAAATCCACTCGTACTGGCAAACTACATGAAGCCAAACCGAGACGCCGTTATTGCCAAACCAACCTGCAGGCTGCGGCTGCAGTGGGGGCGATTTGCTGACTCCAGCCCCAGCGAAATTTCTTGCCAGGTTGGCATTATTATTATTCTATCCCTTATCTGCATCTTCCAAGTGATCTCCCCATCTCACTGCCATCTCTCTCGGAGCCCCAAATCCCGCCATAATAATGAAGGTGTTATGCCTCCACGGCAAGGGCACCAGCGGCGCCATATTCAAGTCCCAGACGGGTCCGTAACCTACCCCGCCGTGCTTATCAGCAGCCCGCAAGTTCGCAACTAACCCCTCCCTCCAGCAAGCTTCCGCTCTCACCTCACCGACCTCCGCATCGACTTTGACTTCATAGACGGCTGCTACCCCTCCGCCGCCGCAGCGGGAATCGACCTCTTCTACCCCGCCCCCTACTACTCCTTCTGGGAAGATGATTCCCCCGAGGCAATCCAGAAAACATGCACCTGGCTCAAGGGTCTTATCGCACAGCGGGGCCCCTACGATGCGGTCATGATGTTCTCGCAGGGATGCGCCCTCGGCGCCGCGATGCTCCTCCTCCACCAAGCGCAGGACCCTACGCAGCCTCCGCCGTTCAAGGCGGCGATCTTCATCTGCGGCGGGGCGCCGCTGAAGCTGGTCGAGAGCATAGGGTTCGAGATTTCAGACGCGGTGAAGGAGCGCGATCGGCTGGGGAGGGAGGCGTTGGCGCTGCAGGCTCATTCTGCGTCGATATTGGCGAGGGGGTCGGCGCGGTGGATGGGCGAGGCGTCGGTGGGTGGAGCGGTGGACGAGGAGGAGCTCCGGGAGGAGATCCGTGGGCCGTTTAAGGTGGGGGTTCCGACGGTGCATGTTTACGGGTCTAGGGATCCGAGGTATGCCGCTGGGGTGCAGCTCTCGGGGATTTGTGAGCCGGCGAAGAGGAGGGTGTTTGATCATGGGGGTGGGCATGAGATTCCCCGGACGGATCGGGTGAGTCGGACGATTGCGGACTTGGTGCGGTGGGTGTTGCTGGAGGGGAGTGCGTAGGAGGTTCTCGGCTGGTAGTTATAGATATTGCAGCGGTTGTTAGACACATATAATGTTTGAGATCTAAGTATGAGCTTGTTGGCTACTCTTTATTATCGAGATGATCCGACGCAGTCTCTATCGCCCTTCGTATGGCATTCGCTGTCTTTGTCACAGCATCCTTGCTCCCAGAACCAGGAATTTCATGCCCTCGATCGTGAACATACGTCCATTTCATATCTGACCTGCAGACGTCGCTCGTCATGGCAGCTTGGCTGCCACTCTCTTCCAGTGCACCCCATACATGGACCGTGGGTATCTCGACAATACCCTTGACATCATTTAAATCCACGTCTGTAAACTTGCCCAACTGTAATTCCTCATAGTCAACCGGCGGTCGCACAACCGAGAAGAGCACAGCAAATCTGAACGGGCTGTCAACGTTGTCTCCTCGTTTTTTTCTCCTGAAGACATGTATAAGGTACGTCAGAATCATCGTCGCCGCCTGACTGAATGCAATTACACCATCGTATGGCCCCTCGTCTCGCAGGTGTTGTTCGAAATGCCGATAGACGGCGAGACCACTCTGGGGGTCTTTGTCGTCAAAGTACGCGAAAACAGGTTCATTATCCAAGGCGATTGTTTCAACACCTGCAGAATCAGTTTCAGTTTGGGTATGTCTATGTCTAAGGAAGTACACGGACCTGGGTACATGCTCCAAGGAATGGTGCCTTCGACGAAATCGTAGACGTGGCCGTCTGCTAGCTCGTAGCGGATGGCGGCTGCTTTTGTCAGTTTTCGATCTGCGTGAGAAAGGCTGTTATACCTGTCTGCATCTCGAAGATCTTGGACTCGTGTCAGACTCGTTAGCTTCAATGTTGAGTATGGCTCGAAGCTTACCCGAGAATTGATGCCTGCTCCATGGAGGCTGCTCTTCCATTAACGACTCGACCAGTGCACTTGGCTAGGGACACTCACCAGAGAATGCGCATTTTGGCTCAAGTAAATTGTTGACGTACTTCCGGGTGAGAAGAGATTAAATGAAGCCAAACTAAGAGATGGGAACCATTTATCGGCTGTCGCTCCGGTGGGTCATGTCAACGGTCATTTGTCAATTTGTCGAATTCCAAATAGACCGTAGGATGTCCATATTAATAGGCCAATGATAATGGCTAACTGCACGGTGATGAACTTGATCAGCGTAAGCTACCTCAGTTCAGGCGTCCCACAGTCCCACTCCTGCCGTGTCTGACAGTCTGAGCCTCTGAGGCTGGATCTAAGACAATCGATGGGTCTCAACAAGTGACAAATGACAGTGTCCCTTTACAACAGCATTGTCTGCCGGTCGCCAGTTTGACTTCCTTAGGATGTCAAATATTGATACAGAGTACATTAACCTGTTAACTGTCATTATATTTAGATAGGTTCAGCGCCCATCCTTCCTTCTTCCCGCGGCCGCTGCACTGACTTTTCATTATGGCACGCAGCACAGCAACCGACAGTCTTCCACCATTAGCGGTGGTGGGCCTCTCCTTCAAATTTCCCGAGGATGCAACTTCATCAGATGCCTTCTGGCAGATGTTGCTCGAAGGCAGATGCGTTTCGACCGAGTTCCCTGCCGATCGGATGAACATCGACGCCCACTACCATCCCGATCGCAACCGCCTCGACAGCATCTCAATGCGCGGAGGACACTTTCTCAAGGAGAATCTAGCGGCATTTGACGCGCCTTTTTTCTCGATGAGTGCGGCGGAAGCGGAAGCAATGGATCCCCAGCAACGTATGGTTTTAGAGACGGTCTATCGAGCCTTGGAAAACGCAGGTCTTCCAATGGAGAAAGTTGCCGGCTCTAAGACCAGTGTCATTGCAGGCTCATTCAGCGATGACTACTTTCTGCTGCAGACCAAAGACCCGCTAGATATGCCTAAATACACGGCCGTGGGCACGTCGCGGAATATGCTTGCTAATCGAGTCAGCTGGTTTTTTGATCTTCTAGGACCGAGTGTCGCGGTTGATACTGCATGTTCAAGCAGCTTGATCGCCTTGGATATGACATGCCAGTCTATTTGGAGTGGAGACGCTGCTATGGTATGTTGACAGAAGGACAAAGTTCTTCTGATTTTTTCTTGCTGATGCCTTCGCAGGGCCTGGCAATCGGGAGCAATGTGATCCTAACCCCAGAATTGACCATGAGCTTGGATAATTTGGGACTACTATCGCGGGATAGCCACAGCTACAGCTTTGACAGCCGAGCAAATGGATATGCAAGAGGCGAGGGAATCGGTGTCATTGTGATCAAGCGACTCGATAGTGCTATACGTGATGGAGACACCGTTAGAGCCGTTATAAGATCATCCTCTTCAAACCAGGATGGAAAGACACCCGGTATCACGCAGCCTAGCAAAGATGCGCAGGTCCGCTTAATTAGAGATACGTACAAAAAGGCTGGGCTGGATATGGCATTGACCCGGTATTTCGAAGCGCATGGCACAGGTATTCATTTAATGAGACTTCAGGATGATTCCACTATGTTAACTAGGTTTTAGGGACCCCTGTTGGTGACCCAATCGAAACGAGAGCGATAGGGACCGCTTTTCGCCGGTATAGGTCGCCTGAGGAGCCATTATACGTGTAAGTCCTGCCTGGCCATCCCGAACGAGAACTTATCCTGAGACCACTATAGCGGATCTGTCAAATCAAACATAGGGCATCTTGAAGGAGCTAGTGGTGTTGCTGGAGTCATCAAAGTGATCTTAGCATTGGAGAAAGGCATCATCCCACCGAACAGCCGAAACCTGCAGTCCCTTAATCTACAAATTGACGAAGAGTTCCTCAATCTAAAGGTTTGGAAGAGTATCCAGCTGAGTCGACCGCCCTAACAACTTTTGTACAATAGGTGTTGCAAAAGGCCATTCCATGGCCTGTGAATGGCCTACGAAGAGCTTCCGTGAGCTCGTTTGGTTTCGGCGGGTCGAATTGCCATGTCGTCTTGGACGATGCGTTCAATTCCCTTCGCCTTATGGGTATAGAAAACGGCCGTCATCAGACAGTCGCCGTACCTCCATCGCACGCAGACACTGGTCTGGTGGCTCAAGGGAAGCGTTACGCCATAAATGACGAAGTCCGTAACTTAACTGACGATCATGTCATTGGACAAAAGGAAAATGGATCGCTTGACAAGGAGGAGAACTACCAGATTCTCGTGTGGTCAACCGCAGACGAGGAAGGAATCAAGCGACTTGTAGAATCCTGGAAGCCGTTTCTATCGGATAAAAGTGAGTTCTCAAGAAGTAAGCGATGTCAATATCTGCTCGACCTGGCATATACCCTCAGTCAACGCCGCAGTCACTTCCAATGGCGGAGCTATGCTATTGGAGATCCCTTGGGGGATCTGGGAAGTCTTCCAGACCATTTTGTGCCTGCAATCAAATCTACCGACGACCCTCGCATCGCGTTCTTATTCACTGGAGTATGACTATAATAAAGCGGAGACAGCCGAGGCTGACCGTTCACAGCAAGGAGCTCAGTGGCACGCAATGGGACGCGAGCTGTTACATCGGTATCGTGTATTCGCAGACAGCCTCGCAGAGTCCGCAAAGTACCTGAAAACACTAGGGTGCACCTGGGATCTGCTAAGTAAGTATCTGTCTCATTTAGTCTGTAGCAAGTGGCTAACGACCATCTTGCAGACGAGCTAGAAAAGTCAGCATCTGATACCAACGTGAATAATCCCGCTTATGGCCAACCTCTATCGACTGCTCTTCAGGTCGCCCTTGTTGATCTACTTGACAGCTGGGGAGTTATCCCGACGGCAGTTGTAGGACACTCCTCCGGAGAAATTGCTGCTGCGTACTTCGCCCTCCAATATATCCATTTATCTCAATATGACTGACGAGGGATGAGACAGGTACTGCGCCGGAGGTCTTACAAAGCAATCTGCGTTGAAAGCTTCATACTACCGAGGCTTTCTGGCGGCAAAGCTTGAAGAGCTTAGTTCAATGAGAGGTTCAATGCTTGCGGTAGGACTATCCAAGAAGGATACCCAAGGATATATCGACAGGATCCAAGATCCGAGACTGGTCGTGGCCTGCATCAACAGCCCTAGAAGCGTGACAGTGTCAGGCGACGCTGAGCAAATTGACGCCCTGCATGATCTACTGCAGCAGGATGAGGTCTTCTCACGCAAGTTAGTAGTCAACGTCGCATATCATTCGGTCCAGATGCGAGAAATAGCAAATGAGTATCAGTCTGCGATGGGAACGCTGGAGAAGCCGAGTTGTGAGAAGAAGAAGGCCCCGCTCATGTTGTCTTCTGTCACAGGCGACTGGGTCTCGAGTCTTGAGCTGACGGACCCGGCATATTGGGTGCGGAATATGGTGTCTCCAGTGTTATTCTCAGATGCTGTGAGCCGCATCTGTTCTTCTCCAGGAAAGCAGACCAGGAAAATCGATGGAAGCCATCGCTATCAAATGGCCATCAGTCATCTTTTGGAGATTGGGCCGCACGCAGCATTGCAAGGTCCATGCCGAGATATACTCAAGAGCATCAACAAGCAAGCCGATATCCTATATCTTTCACTTCTAGTACGGAATAAATCTGCTGTGATGACGACCTTGGACTGTGCAGGTCGCTTGCATTGCTACGGCTACCCAGTTAATCTGGGACTGGTCAACACAACTGCTTATGATGGAACCAACCAAAGGCGGGTGCTGAGTAACCTTCCTGAATATCCATTCAACCATTCTTCATCATACTGGCACGAAAGCCGGAAAAGCAAGGGCTACAGATGCAGGAAATTCGGCCGTCTGGACCTTGTCGGTATCCCAGATCCAGACGGCAACCCGATGGAAGCTACCTGGCGAAACATTATTCGGGTATCTGAGATGCCGTGGGTCCAAGATCACAAGATCAATAATACAATTCTCTACCCGGCGGCAGGCATGTTGGTCATGGCGGTGGAAGCGATCAAGCAGCTGGTTGAGCCGGACAAAGTCATCGTGGGCTTCAATATCAAAGATGCCGTATTTTCATCTGCACTGCATATACCTACCCATGCGGACGGCATCGAGACAAATATACACATGAAGCGTGTCAGAGAAGGCAAGTCAGATAGTAGCGGCTGGTACGAATTTCGGATATGTTCGTACGACAACAACACTTGGATTGAGAACTCCACTGGCACTATTCAGGCCGCATTTGAAGCTGGCGAGATGGGACTAAATACCAACGGTCAGGTGGAGCGCGAGTGGCAGGAGCATCTTGTGCAGTCATATCAGCATGCAGCACATACATGCGCGGAATCCATCGACACATCTGTCTTCTACGAAGATATATTTGCTTGTGGCTACCATTACGGGCCGACATTCAAGGCAATCACCACTCTCAGATGCGATGGTAGGACTAATGGGCAATTCATCTCGGATGTCCGCACCTACAGATGGGCGGATGACGAGAGCTCAGCAGTTGCTCAACCTCATACGATTCACCCTACCACATTAGACGCCGTGATCCACATGATGGCCGGTATCGTGACATACGGAGGCCGGAAAAAGTCCGTGGCTGTTCCAACACGGATCGACCAAGCATGGATATCGAGCAGCGGGTTGAGCCACCCGACAGCGGACAGCATCAAGGTGCATGCGAGTTCCCATAGGTCGGCCGTAGGGGACGCCCGGTATTCAATGACTGCAGTTGATCGGAAAAAGGCTCGTGCACTCCTGACCATCAACGGCCTTAGAGTCACAGCCCTGGAAAGCTCAGAGAGCCGCATTTCAGATAGTAATCAACTACGGACGGAGAACCTTTGCCACCATATAGAATGGAAGCCTGACCTCAACCTGCTGAACAACCAGGAAATCCGAGCATTCTGTGCAAGTGGGGAGCCAGACAGCGAAGAACCAGTCCAGTACTTTACTGAATTGGACTTCCTTGTTACAACATACGTTGCCAAAGTCCTCAAGTCGATCACAGACGTCAAGACCGATCACCCTCCCCATATGGCGAGGTACGTGGAGTGGATGCTAGATCAGCAAAAAGCACTAGAGTCTGGCCGCTCTCCGTTTAGTTCTGAAGCATGGAGGAACCGCATGAAGGATGAAAGCTTTGTTAACGATGTCCATGCAAAACTCGAGAGAACGAACAAGCGAGGACTGCTTGTGAACACAGTCTGTAGGAACCTTCTCATGTTCCTTAAAGGAGAAATCGACCCAATCGTTTGCCTATTCGAAGGAAACCTACTCGACGAATCTTATTATGAAATGGTAAGTTAGGACGCGATGATGGCAATCGAAATGACCGTCCAAGTGACCATGATCTGCAGGTTCACTCTCTCCCACGTATTCGTCCATTCGCTCGGTACCTGGATGCTCTCGCACACCAGAACCCACACATGAAGATCCTTGAAGTTGGTGCTGGAAGCGGCGCTATGACTCAATTCTGCCTTCAGGTCCTTTGCACGAACTCGGAAAACGACACCACGGCACCTCGCTATGGACAGTGGGACTTTACCGATATATCTGGGTCTTTCTTCGCGAAGGCGCAAGACTCCTTTGCATCTCAAGGCAAGCGGATGAGGTTCAAGATGCTGGACATTGAGCAAGATCCTGGACTGGAGGGCTTCGAGTGTGGAACATATGACATGGTTGTTGCATTTCTGGTGAGTTTAGAAATTGCGCAGTTTCGAAAGGAGTGGCCACGATCTGACTTTCCTCCTATCTTAGGTCTTACATGCTACAAAAGATCTGTCTGCGAGTCTGAAGAATGTCCGCAAGTTGCTGAAGCCGTATGATTGTCCCATCAAAATGTCGCAACTGAATGCGAGCAATAACTGATATCGTCTACTGCAGGGGTGGAAAGCTTGTGCTCGCCGAAATCACCCGACCGGGTGCTATCCGGACAACCTTTGTCTTTGGCTTGTTTGAAGGGTGGTGGCGAGGTACGTCTTCCTATGCCCTGAAGATGAAAGCGCACAAGATCCTCTGACGTTCCCAGGACTCGAGCCCTACCGCCAGAAGAATCCATGCGCGGACTCTGGCCAATGGGAAAGACACTTGAAGGAAGCCGGATTCTCGGGCTGCGATGTCGTGATCGACGACTATACCCACGAGGACTGTCAGGAGGCTAGTCTGATTCTCTCGACTGCCGTTCATGATGCGTCCACGGTGGAAAACTCGCCGACAATCAGTATCATCATTGATCCTGCTAATTACGCGCAAGTAGAATTGGGGGCTGAACTCGAAGCCCAGCTCAGGCGTGTGGGATTCGCCAATATAACGCAGACGCCAGTGGAACATTTCCTGAAGGGGGAAGATCACACAAATAGTCTGGATATCACCCTTTTGGAAGGTTACAGTCCCTATCTGTACGATATAAATGAGCAAGAGTTCAAGCGTCTGCAGAGCTTGCTTGCTTCTACGAGGAACCTTATCTGGGTAAATGGTGGAGGTGGACATCAGCCATGTCCCAAATATCGACTCGTGGACGGACTGTTTCGAGTCCTCAGGGAGGAGAATCACAGAACAAGACTGACAATCCTCTCCCTGGAACAAAAGGCGTCGACAAAGCACCAGGCCCAGCAGATTGTCAAACTAGCGCACTCTGCCTTGACTCAGGAAAGTGGCATCGAGACAGATTACATAGAGCTAGACGGCATGCTTCACGTCGGCCGCCTAATTCGTGCCACTCTAGTCAATCATGCTATTTCGGCGAAGAAGCTTCCTCAACGGAGGGCATTACGACCTTTCGGTGCTGACCCTCGGCTCAGACTTGAGATCGGCTCCCCTGGTCTGTTGAACACGCTCCACTTCGTGGAGGACACTTCACACCAGAAGCCCCTCGGACCTACAGAATTCGAAGTTCAAGTTAAGAGTGTCGGCCTTAATTTTCGGGACGTGCTGATTGCCCTGGGACGACTGGACAGCGAGGCGCTGGGGGCTGAGTTTGCAGGACTAGTTACAAAAGTTGGATCCTCGTGCCGCAAGTTTCAGCTGGGAGACAGGGTTTTGGCGTGTTATCCCAGTCGTCACGCAAACTTTGTCCGTCTAGAAGAAAACATGACGGTCATAAGGATTCCGGACACTATGCTCTCCTTTTCGGAAGCCGCAGCTTTGCCAGTCGCTTATGCCACGGCGTGGATCGCGCTTAATGAAATCGCTCGACTCCAGCCGGGCGAAGCAATTCTTATTCATTCAGGTGCTGGAGGAACGGGACAAGCCGCCATCCAGATTGCTCAGCTCCTCGGTGCGAGTATCTTCACGACTGTCTCCAGCGAGAATAAAAAGCAGTTTCTTGTGGAGAAGTACAACATTCCGGAGGACAATATCTTCTCGAGTCGGAACACCCTATTCGCGAAAGGCATCAAGCGCCTAACAAAGGACAAAGGCGTAGACGTGGTCCTCAATTCGTTGTCTTCTGAGGGGCTTATCGCCTCTTGGGAGTCGATCGCACCGTACGGTCGATTCATCGAAATCGGGAAGAACGATATTCTATCCAACTCGAAGCTTCCAATGTTGCGATTCGAGCAGAATGTAACTTTTGCTGCGGTTGATCTGGCCGCGATGACAGTGGATCGCCCACATGTTGTGACAGCGGCATTGGAAACTATCCTATCATTGCTAAAAGAAGGGAAGATCTCCCTTCCGGATCCACTTCAAGTCTATGGCATCTCAGACATTGAAGCTGCATTTAGGCAAATGCAGAGTGGCAAGAACTCAGGAAAGGCTGTTCTGGAGATGAGAGCTACAGACGAGGTAGTGGTATGCCACATCATCTCCATCCCGAAGATTTGAAGAGAATGCAAGCTAACCCAACATAGACCGTCCTGGCAACGAGGCCAGAGTACTTCTTTAGCCCCGAGGAGACATATCTCATCGCAGGTGGCCTAGGCGGCTTAGGGCGGAACATCGCTCGCTGGTTTATCGAGAGGGGAGCTCGAAATCTGATTCTACTCTCACGATCGGGGCCTCGGAACCCACATGCTCATGACCTGGTTAGGGAGCTGGAAGCCAAAGGCGCAAGAGTTGTTACGCCCGCGTGCGACATAACCGACAAGGAAGGCTTGAAAGCCGTCTTGTTCGAGTTTAGTCAGACGATGCCTCCAATCAAAGGTTGCGTCCAAGCATCGATGGTCGTTAGTGTAAGTTGAATGTCTTGATGACTTTGTATAAAATCTCAAAGAACGTCCACTGAGACCTTTTATTTCACAGGATGCGCATTTCGAAGGTATATCTTTCGAATCTTGGAAAGCTTCTACCACGCCTAAAGTCCAAGGCTCATGGAATTTACACGAGCTTCTTCCCAGAGGAATGAATTTTTTCGTCTTAATGTCGTCTGTTGCTGGAATATATGGCGCACGAGGAGCATCTGGTTACGCCGCTGGAAATACGTTTGAAGACGGCCTAGCCCGTTACCGCATTGCACTGGGTGAGAAAGCTGTGTCGTTTGACCTTGGGATGTTTCTGTCCGTTGGTGTCTTAAAAGACAACCTGGCTCTCCGAGAAAAGATGTTGGCCAGTACCGTCTTCCACCAAATCACAGAGTCTGATCTCCACGCGCTCCTGGATATCTACTGTAACCCAAGTCTGGACGAAATTCCATTGTTGAGAAGTCAGACGGTGGTTGGAATGACCCCCAAACTGCGCGAGAAAGGCATGACAACCACCGAATGGATCAAGCGACCATTCTACCAGCATATGACATTGGTCGAAGGGACGGACGCTGGCATTCCTGGGAAGGCGGAGCATACCAATTTTGCTGCTCTCTTCGCAAACGCTGGATCCGCAGTCGACGTCACCGCAGCAGTGACAGAGCAGCTGAAGATCAAGCTCTCCAAGATGCTCTCATTACCTCTGGCTGAGATAGACGTCGACAAGCCCATACACCAGTACGGAGTCGATTCCCTGGCGGCAGTGGAACTGCGGAACTGGTTCTCCAGAGAACTCCGCGCAGACGTCGCCGTTTTCGACATCCTTGGGGGCGCGAACATTGCCTCCGCTGTTGGACTCGCCGTTCAGAAGAGTGACTACCGAAGAGCAGAATGGGGATCTTGACCGAGTTCGGTAGAAGTAGGGTGCGTGCGGAGCAGAGTGTGGAGTCGTTTGGATACCTTGGGCGGGGAATCAGTCCCCTCACCTATGAAAGAAATGCATTCGAGACTATAAAATGATGATCGCTAGCCAGATACTGCTATCGGTCTCTGACGGCTATAGATGGGTGGGTTGATGTCGGATATCTGCTGCATCGGCTATCGGTTTTTGATTTTCGGCAATTGATCGGGGCCGGAGTATACAACGCGATACCTTGTATAAGACAACGCCCACGGACACAACCTGTAGCCCTAGAATATAGTGTAAAGAGAATTGAAAGACAAAATGACGTCCAAATATCGTGTTCTCCATATAGGCGACAACATCAAGTACAACCACGATGTTTACCAGCGCTTCGCCTCGGAATTCGAAATCATCCAGCCCACGGCCGCAGAGCGCGAACGGGGCGAATTCATGCGAGCCTTGAAAGAGCGTCGCTGGGGCGACTTTCATGCAATCTTCCGCCCCTTCTGGAATACAGGAGGTGAAATGGGCCGGTGGGATGCGGAACTCATCCCCCTCCTCCCGCCGTCAGTACGCATCATGGCCTCCGCAGGCGCAGGCTACGACTGGGCCGACGTAGATATCTTCGCACAGCACGGTGCGCTTCCAGCCCAGCACAGAGGCGGAATTACGCTAGCTAACAGCGATGAAAGGAATCGTATACTGCAACGGCGCCGCCGCCTCCTCGGAATCCGTCGCCGACATGACCCTCTTCCTCATCCTTGCCGTCTTCCGCCACCTCGCCTGGTCACACCAGGCCGCGCACTCCTGCAACCCGCAGCGCTTCCTCGACGCACACAAGAACTCGCCGCTGACAGCGCTGAACCCGCGCGGCCGCATCCTAGGCATCATCGGGCTGGGCCAGATCGGGCACACGATCGCCAAGAAAGCGCACGCCGCGTTCGGCATGAAGATCGCGTACAACGATCTGGTGCGAAAATCGCCCGAGGCCGAGAGCGCCGTTGGCGCGCGGTTCGTGCGCGAGCTGGACGAGTTGCTGGGGTTGGCGGATTGCGTGGTGGTCGCGACGCCGTTTGCGGGGCGCACGCTGATCGATGCGGAGCGGCTGGGGAGGTTCAAGCGCGGGGCGCGATTCATCAATATCGCGCGGGGATCATTGGTTGATGAGGAGGCGCTGTTGCGGGCGCTGGATGAGGGGCAGATCTCGGCTGCTGGGCTGGATGTTCATGCTGAGGAGCCGTATGTGCATCCGCGGCTGGCGAGGCATGGCCGGGTGATGATGCTGTCGCATAATGCCGGGGGGACGGTGGACACGCATGTGGGGTTTGAACGGTTGGCGATGGAGAATATTGAGGAGTTTTTGCTGAGAGGGAAGGCTTTGACGCCGGTGAATCTGCATTTGATCAAGACGCCGAAGAGTATGCTGTGATTGATTGCTTTGAAGGTGCTTGCTTGCCTGGCTGGATACACTGTTAGACTAGACGTTGCAGCGGTGTTGGAGATTAATCATGACCTCAATAATTGCCATCAGGTTCCTGGTACTTCTCTTCTGGAGTGTGGTGGAATGTAGCATGCAGGGGGGAAAGCCGATGGATGAAGATTCAGGAACCAGGATTTGCGTTGGTCTAGACCTGGCCAAGAAGGATACCCACCCATCGCCCGATTGGGTAATGCTACGCCTGATCGGGTGGTCGCCGCGTTCCAAGATCCGTTCGCGGCTCTCACCTCGTCCCAGATCCAAGCTATCATTGTTTTGGCTAATGTGCTCTATTTTTATTGAAAGCTTCAAATTCGTCCTTCCAGCATACTTATCGCAACATGACTATCGAATCAGACGACATCATCTGGTTCGATGACGATGAGTATATTGGCGCGGAGATCTCATTTCCTTCTGGTTCAGTGTGGAAGCTGAGCTCCAAAATAAGGGAACATGACTATTACGAAGCTCAAGCAGATTGTGAGCTGTTTGGCATTCAGTCTGAGGCGCGTGGAGTGTTCGTCTGCTCCAAGGTATCTGGAAATGGCCCACCTACTGCTGTCATTAAAATTCGTTTGCAGTGAGTGTTACAATGGGACCATGAGAGATACATATTAATGTTTGATGGCTAGGATTCCGTGGTTCAAGACAGCAAGAAAAAGGCCTGAGGTCCGCGCTGAGCAGGCTACTCTGGAATTTCCTAGCAGCTGGAACTCAGAAATTGAAGCCTTGTCCCATTTGACAAAGGCCCGCTGCTCCAGCACCCCTTCTTTGTTCGCCTGGAAGGCAGATACACAAACCCACAATGAATGGGTCCCAGGAGGCTACAAGCTGAGTATATTGATGGAGAAATTACCAGGTTCTGATCCCTCGGATTTATTTATCACTAGTCAGATGCCCCTTGTTGAACGGGATCGTCTAAGGATGGCCTTCAAGGCAGCGTGGCTGTGAGTCCTTGCTTTGATTTCTCATATGTCCAACAAGAAAGACTTTTCCCCTCGCCATTTGGATCATGGGGAACATACGCTGATGGTAATTTTACAGTGAGGCAGTCCATTGCGGAATAGTGCATGAAGATGGGGCAATACGTAACCTCCTTTGGGACAAGGAAGGTAATAAATGGTGGGGTCCCTTTCTGTGTAGTCCTTTAGGACATCGTGTACTACGACCAATTTCTAACTCCGTGGCCAGCTACCTGGTTGATTGGGAACGCTGGCACTTTGCAAATGAGAAAACTGCTTGGGAAGATCGCATCTACATTAGCTGGAATCTCGCACAAGAGGGGCCGTCGCATGATCTTTTTGATATGTCTGATTGGTGCCTGTGATATCGACGTATGGAGTTGTAATGATCTTAGTCGAGGAAGGGAAAGGGCGTTTTCACCACCTCCACAACCCATGCTCTGACAATATAATGCTATTATTTGTTTCTCGTCATTTCATCGGCTCCCCCATGTTGGATGGCGGATTCCAGAGACATATGAGTGTCTGACTCACGAATCACCCAGGGTGCTGCCCCCTGGCACATTAGCTGGAGGCTGTTGGCTATATATCCTGCCCTACTCTTCATTCCCTATCTAGGTGTTAAAAACCTAGGATGTTCATGAGTCGTTATAGTTCTAGCCTGTTTAAAGACCTGAAGCCAAGCTCCATATACTACTATTTTTAAGAGTTATAAGGTTGGGATACTCGTTTTACTAACCATGGGCAGGGGGAGTTACGACTAACTGGTTAGATGATACCCTAATCATTAATCCCTGGCCAAGGGCATGATAGAATGATGTAGCTTAGCCCCCTTCCTAAGAATCCATTCAGGGGCCTGAGGCTCTCTCCTAAGATATTCAGAGAGCCTATCACCCTCGCAGGTGTTTGTTAGACCCCCTAGACCACCATTAGCTTTTTGGTTAAAACCCTGGCCACCATAAGAAGGTAGCTGATTGGTTTAACCAGGCCCTATCCTGGTCCAGGCTTTTATGAGATAAAGGCAGGGTACTGCCTCGTATATGTAGTTGAGGGGGATGGCGCTCACGTAGCTGCCTGAGGCTCCATATAATACTATTCTTCATCTTCACCTTTCCCAAAGAAATGAACATCGGCCTCTTGTTACAAACTTTAGGCTATGTTTTCCCTCCTACTCTTTCTTGTGGCCCTGAGTTTCCAATTGAAGACTGAGTAATGCAGCACGAGACTCGTCACCAGCCGTCCTTGATGTCAGCGAGGTCAATGGCCAACGCATTCCAGGTAAATTACGAGCATCGAGGCACATACAGAGCCAGTTGGACCGGATCTGTCAGGCTATTAATGGTATGTCAAAACCCAGTTGATTCTAGCTAGTCTAGTGTCGTCTGCGGAGTTGCGCAGAAATGTTGTTCGATAGTGCATATTCTACCAGGAAAATGTATCTTCATAAAAATCGACCAACTGCCCATTCTGACGTTCTCGAACGGCCTGTCTCACGTCGTCGCCCAGTCCTCCAGGGCCGCAAACACTAACGGCCATCGCACCAACTTGTTGCGCCATCTCGACATCCACAACTTCCGCAAACGATGGTTTGCCGTACTTGATGCTGATAGACACAGTTGATGGTGGTGATTTGGTCCAAGGGCTCTCGTCGGATAAGTATTCGTCTGTGCTATACCCTTTTGATGTCACGTAGATTTGAATTGATAATGAGAACTCGGGAAGCTGGAAGTATGAGTGTTGCTTGCGCTCATTCGGGGCTTCGACGGCTGGGTGGTCGAGTAGAGAGGCCATCCATGGCTGGATCCAGTCCAGATGCTCTAATTGGGGTCAGCTCATGTTCATTTGCTATTTGACCTCTAGAACCTACCTAGTTGGCGCACAACCCATACCAAGGTGACTCTCCGCACCGCCATCGATCGGTTGGAGAAACCATCGGCAAACTCACGCAGGTAGGAAAGTGGGTGAGTTATCCCTATCCCTCCTGCTACGAGCAGTACTGTACCATAAGATGCAAGCGAGTGAAGCCCCCCTGTGTTCCACAACGTAAGCGTATGCCCCAAAATGAATAGAGTCATAATGCATACCGAATGGCCCTTCCGCCAAAGCAGTCGCGTCGAACCTCCCTTCCTCCGAGCTGTGAACCTTCCTCAAAAGCTTGTTGGTAAATCCGTCTCGCCGCTTGATCAGGAATGACATGGTAGTCCGCTGAGGTCCACCCAGCAAGACATTGAATGAGTCGCTTGAATCGCGCTTTTCGCTGGAAGTCATCCGATCCGAGGATGTCCATGCCACAGAGAACGGATGCGAGGTCCATAATCCTAGCGACGGGATATAGAGGTACATATACTGTCCGGCCTTGACTGTCCAGGGACGCGACACGGCAACCTCGACACGCGCGACATCTCCAGGCAATAGTTCCACGGTAGCAGAAGTACGCTGCTTGCCACAATTCCGCCAAATAATACTGATGAGACGTGCAATTCTCTGGAGAGACGCATGAGTAGTGCGAACTTGATGACCAAGGGCATATACTCACATCAAGACCCCAAAGGATTAACGTGGCCAGGAGAACCCTCTGTTGGGCCAAGCCACGCAGATGATACCATAGCCCAACAAATGCCATGACTGCAAGGATTATATGAAAGTGAAGAAAGGCTTCGTAGAATGCATGCCGAATTGGCGATACTGATTGAAAGAAAATAACAACAAATGCAATAAGAGCCTACCATCGACCGCGTTAGCAATGCCAGTAGGTAAGCCGTTCGTCGACACAGATCACTTACAATGATTCCATATACATAGAAAGGCTTATTCCAAAGTTCGTTCATGATCACGTCCATAGTTACTATTTCCCTTGTCAGCAACGGCCATCATTCGAGACAGCTGAACCACCCACCCTGCCTGGCCTGTGCCCCAATGACACAGCCCATGTGAACAAGGGCTCCAGCAATCATGATCCGTCCGACCCAGCGGTGCAGGAGATTGAAAGTGTCAAAAGGAATGCCCAGAAGTGGGATGAGGGGATTGTTCCGGCCCGCGGTCAAGACCAGCGCAGGTGAGTTCATTACTGCTAGATGTCCGGCGGCATATTTTAATTGGTACATCTTTTCTTGATAGTCCGTCCACCAGTCGACTAGCACGAACAAGAAAATCAGGTTGGTCGTGATATATGCCAAAAGTAATGTGGCCTCCAGTCGTAAGGGTACGTTTCCCATGTGAATTCTGTCGAGCAGTTGAAATTCGCGACTGTGCCGTTTGGAAAACAACGGTGCATAGAGTACATGTTTCTTTATCCAGGCAAAGATGGTGCTGGTCCGCGAGAACTTGCTCTGGTCATCTGTCCGAAGAATCTCACGTAAACGACGACGATGCCGAACCCTTATGACCACCCGACACACGAATAGAACAGTGAAGACCCCGCTGAGGACGAAGAGAGGTGTCGCCAATGCCGGGTTCATAGGACGATGAGGGTAGCCGGGGTGGGAGTGATCTACCCCTGGTCCTCCGAGTTCTACTCCCATTTCCTGAGATCAAAAGAAACATTCAAATCACAAGTTGAATGACGGGCGAACAGAGAGGATCGAAGTATAGCAGCGGCAAAAGCTGCACATGCGCTTCCACACTGGCTAAAAGGCCGCGAATAGAAGTGAGTTCTTGCAGAAGTTAAAGCAGTCAAATCATGGACTCAAAACACCAGGCCATGAACAATAAAAATAAATCAAGCCATGACGTGACACTGCTTCTACAATGACCTCCTCTCCTGATGCCGTCATCCACCATCGAGTAGTAGTAACGCAAAGGGTCACCCAACAAGCTACAAGGAAGACGGTGACAAAAAGATCAGCATCAGCAATCAAGCTAGTGCAACCATGGAGAATGTCGGGGGTTGATGTCTTACTCAGCTGAGCTTCGCTCTGGAATGTGAGAGACTTGGAGCGTGGAGCCCGTCTAGATCACAGCGGAGATCCCTATTATTGCCGGGCCTCGAAACGAACCAAAAACCTCAATCAAAATTTCATTGAGTAATCTTACTCAGCATTGCCGACAGCTGGGATTTCTGGTCAAGTTATTAGCAGATGTCTTGGACTTGGATTGAACTATTGGAGTCTTCGGATGGGCCCCTACTCTCCGATGGAACGGTAGCTCCGAAAACGGAAAGTCATGCAGGATCGCCAGATTCCGCGAATACCGAAAGCTTGATTTCTCGCCCTGAGCATAAGTCCTGCTCCATTGTTTGGCAAGAATCGACGCTAAAGATGTCCACGCCCTCGTCATCTTGCAGATTATGAGCCTATGACGCAGCAGCTGCCTGCCAGCCTGGGCTAATCACGAGATGACATCTCTGTCATGCGTCTCTTCTGGTCAACTGTGAAGCAATCAACGGTGTAGCTTGCCATGCTCTCTAGCCTGCAAGGATCTCTCTATTCACTAGCATGACAGTCTGACCAGGTCCACTCTATATTGAGCGTTTCTAAGCCACAGACGTCGAATCGTCATCCGAGCTACACCAAAGCTTTCACATAGCAGTGAGACTCATGATGTAAACAAAGAAAGACCCTTCAAGACCCTTTCCTAGTCATATTGATTGTTGCAAAACGACGTGGAGGATGCAACAAGCCACTATTGCAACGCTGCTGAATCAGAATCGCATGGAAAGGCCCAGACAACACGCAACACGCTTGGGATGGAGATTGAATCTCCAGTCTGGAGTTGAAGAGCCAACAAGACTTCTTGTTCTGAGGTCGATGATGTCGGCAGGCGAGCGTGAATACCACGGTAGTCTCGAAATCAAACTATAAAGATACAGCGTGGCAGGACGACCCGAATGCCACCCCAGGAAAGACCAAGGACTGCAGTCACAGTCGATAGCGTTTGCTGATAATCAATTATTAGGACGCCCTAACCTATCATAGCATAACTTGATTGATAGCACACAAAGAGTGGGGTTGCTGACTCTGCCTTCAAGTGTCGCTAGGTAGTATCACAGTT